AGGCCAGACTTGTAATCAAGGGATACAAGCAACGTGAAGGCCATGATTACTTTGACACATATTCTCCTGTGACGAGAATAAATTCCATTAGGATGATACTCGCAATTGCCGCTTTGCGGAATTTGGAAGTTCATCAAATGGACGTAAAAACCGCTTTTCTAAACGGCGATATAGACGAAGAAATCTATATGGAACAACCCGAGGGTTTTCGTGTTCCAAGCCAAGAAAAGAAGGTTTGTAAATTAATTAAATCATTGTACGGATTGAAACAAGCCCCTAAACAGTGGCACGAAAAGTTCGATCATGCAATGTTAATTAATGGGTTTAAAATAAACGAAAGTGACAAATGCGTCTATGTGAAAAGCACGGTAGACGGCTATGTCATTTTATGTTTATACGTGGATGATATACTCATCGTGGGTAGCAATAATCTAATGATTAATTCTACCAAAAGCATGTTAAATTCTAAATTTGACATGAAGGATATGGGGTTGGCCGATTTAATCCTTGGGATTAAAATAATTAGAGGACCTGACGGTCTGACGCTAAGCCAATCTCATTACGTTGATAAAATCCTTAATAAATTTAATAAGGATGATTATCAAGAGGCAAGGACGCCATTAGATAAAAACGTACACCTGACCAAAAATCGTGGAGAGTGTATTTCTCAAGTAGAATACGCTAGGATTATTGGCAGTTTAATGTATCTAATGAGTTGTACCAGGCCTGATATCGCCTTTGTGGTTAGTAAGCTTAGTAGATATACTAGCAACCCCGGTGACGAACACTGGAAGGCAATAGTAAGAGTTTTGAGGTATTTACGAAAAACCCAAAATCTTGGACTGCACTATGGAAGATATCCAGCTGTACTTGAAGGGTATAGCGACGCTAGTTGGATATCTGACATTAAGGACTCAAAGTCCACAAGTGGATACGTTTTCACTTTGGGAGGTGCAGCCGTGTCGTGGAAATCCTCAAAACAAACGTTGATAGCTAGATCCACGATGGAATCTGAGCTAATAGCCTTGGATAAGTGCACTGAAGAGGCTGAATGGCTACGCCATTTTCTCGAGGATATTCCAAGTTGGGAGAAGCCTGTCCCTCCAATATGCATACATTGCGATTGTCAAGCGGCAATTGGAAGGGCACAGAGCAATCTCTATAATGGTAAGTCTAGACACGTCCGTCGTAGACATAATACCATTAAACAACTTCTCACAACGGGTGTTATCACTGTTGACTACGTGAAGTCAAAGGATAACATAGCGGATCCGCTAACCAAGGCATTGGATAGAGAATTGTTGGAGAAGTTGACACGAGGAATGGGATTAAAGCCCGTGAATTGAAAAGTTCTATAGTGGATACCCAACCTAGTTGGTCCTAGGTTCAAATGGGACAACTAAATTATAGAGCGAAGGATGGTCACTGTGGGGGTCCCGGACTCCTACCCACTCCTCGTTGAAACAGTGACTCCCGCACGAGGTTAGCAAAAACGTTTGCTTTAATGATTCTAAAATGTTGATCTACTCGATAACATTGGAAGAGTATGCGGGATACTCGTGAAAGAATCACCTATGTGAGAGAGAAGAGGGCCGCTTCAAAGGAGAACTGTAAAGGCTCAGTTCTTTAGAAACTCTTGCAGAACCAGGACGGTGACCCATGGCCAAAACGGGCACACCCATGAGAACGGAACAAAGTTGGAAGGTTCTTGTGTAAAGATAAGTCAATGTTTACACGACGGCGGTATAGTTCAAAGACATCGAGTCTACTAGACAGCCAGTAAATAAACGTGTCTTTACGGCGGAAGGTTCAAAGGATTAAACCTACCTCTCCGTATACAAGGATCATCCGGTGAACACAACGTGTCCTCCTATCTTCGTGTCTTTTTAAGTCTCGAAAATCAATTTTCATTCATGTGGGGGATTGTTGGAAAAATGTGTGAAAAATTGCATTAAATGGCTATTTTGGGGCAATTTTTTGAGTGGGGTCCACTTCTGATTTGGGTCGGGTCAAAGTGGTTTCGGATTGTCCTTGTTAAGGGCTACAATTCGATATATGGTACGCTCAAAACGGATAACGGGTGAATGAGAAATCGCTTTTCGAAGTTTACCCGTTAGAATGGAAAAACTGGGAAAAAGGATGGGTTTCTAGTGTTAATTTCCCACACTGGAAAACCCAAGGGATTTGCAACCCTTTATAAAGGGACTCCCCCCTTATGGAGTTAAGATTCTTAAGGGTAAAGGCTCTCTCCACGCGCGCAGGGGGGGGGGGGGGGTGCAAATCAAATCCCGAATTCGGAAAAGAAAAACCGCGACTTGCGTGCGCGGGCGACCTGCGGACACGAATGTCGTCCAAAAATCCATCTCTCAAGAGATACGGGTAATTTTTGTTTTCTTCCCGAAATGTATATTTTTTCCCAGTTAGCAGAATTGCTCCGGGCAGAAGGCCACGACCAGAGATGCTCCGGTTCTGATGACCGCGCATCAGAACTGCTCCGGTTCTGATGGCCTTCGGGCAGAGATGCTCCGGTTCTGATGATCGCGCATCAGAACTGCTCCAGTTCTGATGGCCTTCGGGCAGAACTACGTAGGGGTCTTCTGATGCCTTCTGAACCGTTACAGCAATAAATGCCCAACGTTTATATCTTTTAATGCAGCGTTAAATGGACAGTTCATGGACGATTCAATGCCCAACGGACTGGTCATTGATGTCCAACGTTCAGGTCCATTAACTCACTATTTTCATACAACAAATCCTCCTATATAATGGCTGGCAGGTGGTTTGCAACAACACAGGTTCTTACACGAGTTTATACACATCCTTCACGTATTTTAGAGCTAAAAACACCTCCAGTCCTTCTGAAAATTTCTGAGTGTTCATACTTTGTTCTCGTTCGTTGGAACTCTTGTTTGTGTGCTCAAACATTAGTTCGTTGTCATCGTATCCTGGGAAACTATTGTTGCAACGCTCCTAGCACCGTGGGAGGCAACAAATACGTTTTAAGGACATCGTGCGTAGCACGAGCTTTGACAAATTTCTGCTCCATCTCATTTCTGTTTTCTTTTGTCATTTTATTTAATTAATTTAATTTAATTAATTTTCTTTATTTTCCGAAACACTCCCAACACTCTTCACCATCTCCTATAATAGTAAAGGAGGTAAAATCATTTTTGTTTTTACAAATATGCTTGGTAGCCCCAGAGTCTACCACTAACTCATTCACATCATTAATTTTACAACTGAAAAAACAACCGCAATAAAAATTATCATCACTACAAACCAAGTTTAAACTTGATTTTAGTGGATTGTTGTTTTTCATGGTTGTCATTTTATCACTAAATAAACGAATAACATTTTTCTTAAAAAGTAGAGTTAAGGTATGACTTATTGTAAGTAAGAAAGTGGAAAGACTAAACATTATACGTAGAAGACTTTTGTGAGCGCTTATCCGATTAATATATCTCCCCATGCGGGTGCATCACAACCTACTTCGAAGCGCACATGTAGAGATAACATAGCCTCGAATAGTGCGACGACAACACCTTGTGAGATCATGAGTGCAGGCATATCCGACACCAAATACTTTCTTGAGATTGTTGAAGGAATTGGCCAGATAAACCTGCAAAAGCCATTAGAAAAATAATGCAGCTCGAGTCGCGTAATCGTTGTCCTCAAGAAAGTATTTCCGACTACAGAAAACCTTTCCCCAAGATAAAACGAGCTCTTCGGCGTAAGCCGATAACAGAACAACGAGAGTAAAAAATAAAATTAATCCAGCAGAGTTGTTATATATTAGGGGATGTACAATTCAAAAGTAATTTTGTCTCACCTCCTCTTTCACCTGGCCGAACACCCATATACTATCGTATATATGTAAAAGTGTTGCTAAAAACGTTGCTGCATGCTCAGGTTGGAACATTAGAACAATGTTTATATTAATAAACTAATAAATGATATTAACGTTCAAGACATAAAAGTGACTCCCACGTATATACGTTATAAGTATGTTAGTCTTTAAAGACTCAAGGTCTAAAAAGTATTCATTTTTAAACAATGAATAAAGTTAACGTTTCTTAAGGTGAAAGAACATTTAAAGAGCTTACCGTTATTATTTGGAAAACTCAATGATCTATCATTCATTTTTTTAATAACATATACAAAAATATCTAATTTATTAATACTCCGGAGTAATATAATATTATTAGATAATTTATTCATTTGAAATACTCCCAAATATTCCAACAGACTTGAACCAATTTCATTAAAAATATGTTAGGCAGGAAAAACGGCTTCAAGGGGAGTCAAAGATGTAGTAACCTTTCAACTTTTTAGGTAGTGGCAATGTGGCATTACAAGTTACAACAATCGACGACAACAGCAAAAAGCCCTAAATAAGAACACGGAAGATGTCAATTTCGTAGCACAAACTCTATATATAATGAATTGAGAAACTGAATAAAATTCCAGCAGATTGTTTTGGACTTTTGGTGACATTTCTAAGAATGAATATATAGAAGAATATAATTCACATACAGGTTTTTCAATAATTTTTTTGGCTGAAATGACTAAAATTAAACAAAATGACATTTGAGCCTAGTCATGGACCCGGTCCGGTCCGACCGGCCCGGCCCGCTACTGTGCAGGACCGGCCCAGCCCGGTTCACTGGTTTACGGTACCAGGCCTGGGCCCAACCCTGCCTGCTAACCGGGGACGATTCCGGTGCGTAAAAATTGTGAACCGGCCCAGCCAGTTCGGACCCGGTTCAAGCCTCTATTTTTTTGGGGGTGGGGGGGGGGGGGGGTGGGGTGGGCTGGGCTAGGTGATTTCAAGGGGTTTGGGGGTGGGGGGTGGGGGATTTAAATAAATAATAAAACACACAAAAAAATAACCGGAACCGGCCCGACCCGGAACCGGTAGCTCACTGGGCCGGTCCTTACCCAAAACCTTCCAGGCCCGGCCAGGCCTAGGCCCAAACCGGAACTGGACCGAGCCCGGTCCACCACTATTTCAGCCTTCATATTTTTACATTATCTTCTTATAGTATGTATGAATTACTCCATACTTTTTAGGGTAAACGGTTTTTCTCTCTAGATAATTCGGCCATTACAAGTAAAAAGAAGGTTAAAATGGAATAGAAGCATCCGTCTAAAGATTGCTTCATAGTTCATACCATTCTACAATCATAGAAGAAGAAGAATAATAGAAAAAAAACAAGTGGCTAAATTCATATGAATAAAAAAAACTGCTAGAGGCTAAAGCTTGACCGAAACATAAGAGACGGGAATTGGACATCACCGTCCCTCACATAAAGAATAGCAGGCTGCAATCTACACTTCTTCCCCAAGTTAAAATTAAGGAATGCTTCCACCTGAAAATGCTCCCAGCTGCTTGTTGGACTTTGGTTCAACCCGCCCAAGCTCAAACCCCACCCTAAACCATCCTCAGGGGTATCGGACATGGAAACAGCCCATTTCACATTTCTTGGCTGTGATTTTTTTTCCATCTGAACCCAACCTCCTATTCTTGTACTCTCGTCAAGACGTGACTCCATCATAAAGGCCATAGATCCATTCGTGTCATCATCTTCCCCTAAAGATTGTCCATTTTGCCTCCAAAACTGAACAGGAAAGATCATGGATCCAAGTCTGGGTTGCTGGTTTGAACCTTTCAGCACTTTCTGTATGCCCATAAGGCTTAGCTTTGTACTTGTGGAAAGTTGGTAAACGATTTGGCCGTAAGTGCTGAAAGAAGAGAGAGTTGTAGTAAGGGTTGTTGATGGTGATGATTGTCCTACAACAGAGATGAACTGAGCTAATGAGGCCACAATATTTGATTTTCTTACCATTATGCCAACTGCACTACCATTTACATGATTCAACATGGGTGGTACTACTGCTGAATAATCTGTCAGGGGCTTTTCCTGAAAAATTAGATAGCAATAATGACAACTTAGGAATTTTTGGTTTCCAGAAAATGCTACACCAAGAAGAAGAAAAAGTTGCTGCACTTTTGTTAAATTTTTTGTTTTATTTTTATGTTGGGTTTTACCTAGATAAATACAAAGGAAAATGAAAAGTTATTTTTTAAGTATAACTTCTTAGTCAACAAATGTCTACAATAAATTCATTGAATTCTAGCTCAAGTTTTATTTTCCCCTGCATTTTGTCCCTACTTATATTTGTCCTTGGTAATTTTGGTATTCTGAATGGACCAGCAACTTTTAGACAAAAGACAGGATGTAATATATAACTAGTATGCAAATATTTTCTCATCGAGAGCACAATGTATATTGATCCATAATAAAAGCTTGTTTAGTAAGGAATTACTTAAGTTGTGTCATCTGAGTCATTTAAAAATTATTTGCATAAGTTTAAGAATACATAAAATGTGAAAATAATGGTAGAAGTATCAAGTTCAACCTTTTGCGTCTCTTCAGCAAACATAGTAACTTCTACCATGCTTTATTTCATTACAAGTTGGTGTGGGGTGAAAAAATGGCTTATAATTTAGAATGTTTTGACTTGGACTGTAATTTTCTGGTCTGATGTGTTCTATTTAAGTCCGGCCTGGTCTGTACTTGTCACGTAGATGTGTTTTACAACTGTCGAAGTTGGGTTTGTCTGATCTGGGACCAAAACCAATCCAAGTAAAAACATCGTTATAAGCCAAAATGAAGCAATCCAAATGAGGTCCAAGTAAAACAGACTACAAAGAAAAAGTAGTTACCTCGTGAGGAAAACTTGTATCATCATTGAAATCCCGACACCGAGCACCCACCGGAATAGCCACGGCAGAGAACCATTTGCTCATATTGGCACAAAAAAGAACTTTAGCCAGAGAAAGTGGAGCCCACAATGCATCTTCCCTACCTCTATCACCCCCAACAAACTCTGTCACAATTTTATCTCTCTCACCAATGCTTCTTTCAAAATAAAGCCTGGATTCGATCCCATTCTTAATCCCAGCCCTTTGAATTGCATCACATGTTGGTTGATCAATGGTGTTCGTCATCACCAATGCCCCTAGCATGTCAACCTCTCCCTTGACCAAAGTGCCGCCTTCTTGGAAGGGACCCGCTTTGGTGGTTTTATAAAAGGAAAGCAACCGTTCTGCCTTTTCTTGTCTGTCCCTTAGCTTCATGATATCTGAAAATGTTTCCCGTTGTAGTCTCTTCAATATTTCGATCTGGAAAAGGATATTTATCACTTGGAAATTAGAATTAGTTATAAAGGTAGCTCACCCATACAAGGTTGTATCTATTGAAAAATCAAGTTTCACGAACTCTAGCAAGTGAATGAGAAAATTAAGGAAACTAATTGTCATTACTAGTATGTTCACCTTGGAGGTAGTTTGGCAAGGCGAGCTTAGGTGAAATGGCTAAAGTTGTAGTTGAAATTGTAGAAATGTCAAAAAAGGTATTCGAATTACATTTTTGTAATGAAACAAAGAAAGTCATAGCTAAAAATGAGGGTGCAATTGTTACTGTCATTCATTTCAGTAACTAAGAAAAAAAGGCTCAACTATTTTTCCACTAGTAACCAATTCAGCTAGAAGCCTGGAACATTCAAATAAGTTGGTGATTTGTTAAAATTTTGGACAGATAAGATTGATAATGCACACAAAGAGATCACCAAAGACACTTGGAGTTTAACAGTAAGCTGTGCTTATTTATTTTTCACCAAAAAGATTCTCATGCTTGAGATACATATTTACTTGCCAACCCAATGCCCCGCTTCAATGCACTTATGACATTCCTAAAGGTTTTTGGAAGGAGATTTTTTTGAGGGAAAGGCACTAAGAGATTAGTATATATCTTGACAAAAACTACCTCCATCCCTCTAAGATTTTTCCAATTTGGAACAAGGAGTGGTATGATTATTACGAAAAATAGAGCATCATTTTCATTTTCATTTACCCCAGTGCCACAAAGTCTCCCACCTACGGTGGGGTAAGGGGGGGTCGGATGTACGCAGTCTTACCCCTGTACTAAAGCACAGAGAGACTGTTTCCGGATGACCCATAGTGAAAATCGCGTCCAAAATTGCATGGACTGACTGCTGCTTCATAACAAAGAAGCGCAGACAGTTTAGTGAGCCATTTTGCTTTATTCCATCATATTCTCAAGCCAAAAAATAATGAATCTTTGGCTCCATTGCAAATGATGGACAAATGTGAATAAAGTAAAAAAGAATTAGAACCACACGAAAATATTATCAAATATGATACATGACAAAATTAGTAGGACTGATGAAAGGGAAAAATGGACAAAAATAGTGGGATGGAGGAAGTATGTGATTTTATAAAAATAGAAAGATTAACTAAAAACAATCTATTCGACAGAGCCTTCCAAATCATTTCATTCAAACAGATACTTCACCAGTTCACTGCTAATAATGCCCATCTTTCTGAACTCTAGTTGAAAAGCACAGTATCTACCTTCCAGAAACACAATTACATTACACATTTACAATAAATAAGCAAATTTGCAAAACCCATTAACAGAGCTTCTAGGGGATGAAAAAACACCACTTTTGTGAATATAAAAATGCAAACTTAGTTAACTTGATAAAAAAATAAGGAGTGCTTGATATGAAATAAAAAGAATACCGGATTGCGCCGGCGGTTGGAATTCTGGTTCAAGTTAAGAATGTTAGAAGCAAAGTCTTTAGTCGATTGAGCAACAGCTTTAAGTTTTTCAACCACCATGGCTGCAGGCTCCATTACTTTGGCAATCGAAATACCACTTCTTTACAACTGAGCAATCAATGGAAAACAAAACAGAGCACTATGGGAGATGTTTGCTCGAGCCTTCAGGACAGACCTTGGACATAGTAAAATGATCTGCTCAAGCCCAAAACCAATCATCAAAACTTTTATAGCCAGAAATTAATAAAAGTAACTTAAAGCTCATACAAGATTAAGGATGTTTTAATTGGACTGATTACAAGCCCAAACCAGATCAGACAGGCTAAACTTCAACAACCACCGGATCAGGCTTCAACAACAGTAAACTATGCATAAAAACATCTAACAGACAAGATCAAAAAAATTCAGTCCAATTAAAAATGTTCTAAGGGTGCTGGGGGATCTAGCATTTTAAAGAATGTGCGCCAAAACTTTAACATGTACTGTATACAGTAACCTTAATTGCTTAAAAAATAAAAAATAAAACAGTGTACCAAAACAAGAGCGTTCATCAAAGTCAAATAGAAACAATACATCACAGTAGTTCTTTATGAGTTTTCATAGACTGATACCACTTAGGGATAACTGGATAACACTTTTGCGTCAATTTGTAGGAATAACCCATTTTCAATTAGGGGATTAGCATTAAAAAAATTAAACTAGACATAGGTAAAGACTTAAACCCCATGAAACACAAAAACATGAGTAATTGTTAACCCATTTTCTACTACTTAACCTAATTACCTCCTCAACCATTTAATTGAATACGCACAAACTGTGTAGAAGTAGGCAGAGTAGTAAGTAGAAGTAGATGAACGAATTAGTTGAAAAAACGAGAAAGTTCTTTTTACCTGTCTGAATTCGGGATCTTATGCAGCCGGCGATTGGGTGAACGTTGAGTGCAGGGCGCGGTGTGGCGGCCGGTCGGTGCGCCAGCGCGTAGCGGTGTGAACAGCACACGTGCAGGGTGCAGCAGACTTGCCACATCTTTCCTTGGCTAGTCTTATGGGCAGGTTCAAATTTCTCTTCATTTGGGCCGAAAGACAACAACATTCAAGTGTAATCGAAATTAAAAATACGATAGATAAAGATATAAAGATATTATTATATTTACACATTACTAAATAAAATTTCTATTTTTTCAACATAAATAATGCTTTATTCCCATAGAACTAAAATATGTATTTTTTAGTTTTATATATAAACATTTCTATACCATCAGAATATATAAATAATGCTTTATTACTAAAATATGTATTTTCCGGACCAGTTAACTTGCAAAAATCATTTGATAACCTTCCTGATTGAATTTTTTGCTGAAATCTGGTTTGGATGAACTAGACTTGATAAGGAACATACACAAAAAATTTGAGCAAAAAATACCACCGGGAAGGCCCCCAAAAGGAGGAGGCCGGACGGTGTTCCGGTCAGGAAATTCCTGACCGGAAGATTACTCTATATATATATATAATTTCTACTTTTTCGAACTAAATAATGCTCTGTTATCAATAAAATTCCTATATGTAATTGTTCATTCATACCCCGTATCTAAAAAGCGCCTGTCATATACCCAAATAAGTTCATTGTAGTCATTGAACAATTGAACTTATTTATTTTTTTAAAGAATTTATTATATAATTGTATATTTACTTTTACTATGAGGGTTCAACTTGACAATTAAAAGTTCAAAACATAACCTCTCAAACCAAAATATAGTGTAAGGCTGTAAGGTATATTTTGCACGGATCCTCTGCCTTGCTTTAGAGCAATGTAGAGTGTTTTGCTTCTTCACTATCGTCCGATCGAAAATTCAACGTCGGAGATGTCAAGGTCCACTCTTTCGCTCATCTTGAGGCCGTCCTCGCCGGTGCCTGGCCATCCGATGCGCAAGGGGATCTGCCATGCGGCAGAAGATCCTAATCCATTTTGCACTTTCAATCATCTTCCACTCTTTGGGAGGGAGTTGCTTCTTCTCCAACGGCAGACACGATATAAGCAAGTTGCTTTTGGACGTAATAAAAAGTATATAAGCACGAGCCACGAGGATAAATTTATTCTACCCAAATTATAAATTTGTAAATCTTTGTTTCAATATAGAACTAGGCAAACCGCTTTGGGACCCCGGTCGGCGGTCCCAGAGCAATTCTGGCACTATTTGGGAGTTGGGACTAGATCGAACCACTCTAAAGCGTTTCACAGTCCTGGTTTCCATTTTGGGAATCAAAACGAGCGGTTCTGATCCCGACCTAGTTTATTTTAGGCTTTGGTTCGATCAAAATATAAAAAACATTATTGAGAACCGGGTCCAGGATCGGACTAGTTGGGTACCCAAAACCGGCCCAGACTCGAGAAAAATCATTTGGGCCCAAACCCAAGGATTTTTTTTATCGGGCAGTCTTGGCTCGAAACCAGGACCGGACCAACCTGACTCCATGCCTATATGGAACAAGTATGTAAGTTTCCAAACCTGAATTTAAGGATATATTTCTGTTTCTCTTTTAACAAGAAACAAAAATTAGGAATATAAGTAGTATGCACAAAATATTTTGAGATAAAAACAATACGAAAATCAGTAAAAATGAGTTTCAAATTCATGTTTGTAGGTTTCGAAACTGCCAATATCATCTATTTTGAATTCATTACATAATTTATTTCAATATAAACAAGTATAATACCAATGTGATGCATGAGAAGAATTATTTTTCATATTAAGGAGTAATTAGTTGAAAGATCCCATTTTTGTAGTTTAATACGGAGTAATATAAAATATAAAATACAAAAAATAGTATTTCACACTTGCATAAATACCCAACACATGCTATGGCGCTATGCAGTCATTGTAGAGAATGATTAACTCTTAAGTAAAATGGATTCATATCATCATATGCACTTTTCGTCTAGGAAATTAGGAACAAGCAAAATAGATTGAAATGTTCCTACAAAACTCATTTCCAAAATATTAGTTAAGTAGTACAATATTTGGAAAACATCACAATAAGATTACTTAACATTCAAGACTAGCCGTCTTACCTTGCCCTTTAGGCAAAATGATATGACAAAATAACAAAAGGCTGCACCTTTCTTATTCTTGCATATACTGAATTTGTACTCAAAACCATTTCTTTAATTTAGTTTTGTTCTTGAGATAACACCCAAGCAAGAGAGCAGATATATATGCAGTTATAAGATTCTTTTCTAATTTCCACCACACTCACATTATCAGTCACTTGGTTCTTCTAACAAGTGGTCGCGGGTCGCGGCTTAGTCCGTGCTTCTTGAGGATTTTGATGTAATCTCTCATGAGAGGGTACTTGTTGCTCCCAAGACGGAACAAGTACTCCCATGTAAAGATACCTGTCTTGTGCATGTCATCAAACAGCAACCTCACGCCATAGTTTCCTATTGGCTCTGCTGACATCATCCCGACATGGCGTCTCCCGCATATCACCTGAAACATACATCATCATGGTTCTGCAACTTAACAAACTCCCGGGCATCAAGTATGGTGTAACATTCGTTCAGCTCAATGAAGATCCATAATTATAAAAAATGACAATAAATTAACTGCAAAACTATCATACAAGAAGAAACAGTTGCGCAGTGCAGCCTCTAACTATTATACCTTTTCACCCCCAACAGAACGGATCTTACTATCAGCTGCTGGGCTATAAATTCTGAGATATTCAGCTGACAGATGATACAAACTACCATTTTCAAACTCCACCTCAACCTGGACATGATTCAATTTAATAAATAAATGAGTTTTAAATTTCACAAAAAGATCATCCTAGAACTATAAAATCCACAACCGTTTGTTGTTCACATAAGATAAGTAGATGATTCACATTATGTCGTTATCCTCCACATCACAGTCATTTGTTTTCCATGAAAATTATTCTAGTAAAGTTCCAGTAGCATCATGCATAATACAACAATTGAGCAAAAACTAGCGAGAGCACATCGTCTAAAAAGCAACTAATTATTGCTGCAAAATGTCACTCCCTACTTCCTAGGTCCCAAAAAGAGACTCTGCTCAAATAAATATGCAATGCTGAAGCCATTTATAAACAAAGTATTATAATACTTTATCCAGTAACACGTAGTAAGCAAGAGAAGAAAAGTTGGTTTGAGCAAAGTCACCAAACAATAGCAATAAACACTTTGTTTATGAGAGAAAAAATAGGACAGATGGAGTATTTAAATTGGTTAAATAGCAGAAATTGATATCAACGAGTGAAACAAAACTTGTGCCCATTTCAATTTCACAAAACCCAGCAAATCTATTGGCCCATCCTTCATCCTTTTTCCCTAAATAGTGAAAAAGCATACATAATCGGGTATTTCAGCCTTTCAGGCCTAAGAGAGCTAAACTCCCAAGATGATGACTTTATGGGTTTTTCATAACAATTCATGTGAGTACTGAAAAATATTCAGGGCAGGAAAGCTTATCAACCTTTATATGCCCTCATTGAAATAAGTTTCAGGAAGCAGCAATTAACATTATTACAGATTTGGATAAACTTGAATGGGAGCAAAGGTGTCCTAAATGAATCTCACGCATACCATCTTAGGGGGATGGAAAGTGAACTTAGTGAGGCGAGGACACCCTGCTGCTGTCCGTATCGTTCTGTACATCCAACTCATTTTCATACCCTTGCCCGATGAACTTGGCAACTTTCCTTGCACAACTCACTGATAATGCTCATGATTTGAGCCCTCGGAGTCAACGTATCACTGGGCTTTGATTCCTTTGAAGTTGTGTTGTTTAACTCTGAATGTGTGTATAAACTAACAAAGCAGTCAAAAAATACGCCTCTCTCACTGTTTACCACATACGAGCGACAACTAACAACATGGAATCAAGCACATTATAGATGGGGAGTTAAAAATATCGGGAAAAAAGAAAAGAGTAAGTGCAAAGAACATGAAAAACCAAACTTAACCTAAAAAAAGAAATAGGTACTGAATCAATACCTTATGGGACGAGTTGGAAGACGAATTCCCAATCAGCGATTCTTGAGGTTTTCAATAATTCAATTGAAAACTGGGGAAGACACTAGGATGGAAATATGGAAGCCTGGTCTTTTGACTCTTTTCCTTGGATGCCGAACACATAGACGTATAGATTAGATGGTTAGGATGCTTTTAGACGGTAGGATGGAAATATGTTACAGAAACTTAAATAAATATGTTAAGAAATTGATCTATAAAACATACTCAAAATTCCATAATAGGACTACATGTTTTAAATTTCCTAAATAGGACCGCCGATTACCATTCTACCCTTCACATCCATCTGCACTTCATCGGTTTTCACTTGATCGGCTGCAAAAATTCATCGCAGCAGGCAACCGCTTCACACATGCGCAAATCCTTTCCTCCCATGGACTGCAGCTCCATTACCGACTATGGCCTTGCACCTTCGCCGTCAATTGTAGGTGATTTCCTCATCCTCCTATTCTTTTTCTTTCTTCTTTCTTCCTCTTCCCCTGGTGCACTTCTCCCCCCTCATGCACTCTGTTTTCTGTTTTTTTTCTTCTATTCATCTACTACCTTTTTAAATTCTAAATAAGTTTTTGGATATTATGTATTGATTTGGATTGTTTTGGATTTGAATTTTATTTTTTCAGAAAAAAGCCACTTTCATAATCTGAGAATGTCAAAAGTATTGGTTATTTGAAAAAATGTCACATTTGTGATAGTACATTGTATGAGAATAGCAATTTGAGAATGTCACATGTAAATAAGAAAATGTCATTAACATGTCATTATTCATATCAAGTGGCATAAAGTTAGTAAGAAAATGCCATTAACATGTAAAAGTTAAAGTTCAGTAAGAAAATGTCATCTTTATAAAGTTAGTTGCATAAAACTGACATTGTTTTGTGAAACGGATAAAAATATGACATTCTAGAGTTTTATAGTTTCAAAATGATATTGTCATCTTAATAGGTGCAATGCCATAAAAGTGACATTTTTTCTAAGTATTATTATTTTCATTTCATTCCTAAATTCAAGATTAATCAAAATCAATAAATAAGATTCAAAATCAAAGAAGAAGAAAACAGAGGACATTGAAGAAGATGAGAAGAAGGAGAAGGAGAAGAAGAGGAGGAAGAAGTGAAGAAGAATGAAGTGCTATTTGAAATAGGGAGCTACTTCCTCCTGCATGACTGCATCTAATGGTGACAAATTCTTGAGCAGACATTTTTTGGATGGCAGTAAAGAAGCTTCATAGACCAAGATTAAGATGGGAGCAAAGCTTGGCCGAAGAATTCAACGGGGCTAGAGTCTTCTCAAAAGCGCACGCCTGGGAGAGCCTGGGAGAGTTAGTTTTATTTCATTAAGGGCAGTTTTGTCAGATTACCTCTTTTTAGTCCTATTTTTGTTAAATAAAACATAGTAGTCTTATTTTTGCAATCCTACCTTCTTTTAGTCCTATTTAGGTAAATCTCTCAAATATGTTACTCCAAACTTAGATCAAGCCGAATTTAACACACTAGATTAGACTAGACTAGGAGCCTGTTTGGTACCACGAAAATTGGCTGTTTTGGCTGATTCTGCTGAAATATATGAAGTTCTGGCTGAAGTGGATGCTTTGGCTGTTTCTGCTGATTTAAGTAAAAAATATTTTTAAAATACATTTTATTAATAAAATAAAGAAAAAATTATATGTAAAAATAGCTAAAATGGTCATCTACAGTAACTTCAGCCAATACAGCCAGAAAAGTAACTCTCACCTTACTTTTTCTGCTTATTACACAATTCAACGCGCGAAAGTAAAAGTTACGTGTTTGGTGAAAGAGTTGGCTGATAAGCCTGATAAGCCGAAAAATGATGTTGCCAAACGGCCTCTAGATTTTTATAATTATGAAATACGAAGAGTTCAAACATTTGTCAGACCAAACTAGTTCAGACAGATCAGAATAGACCAAATCAAATCATACTTAAACGCATCAGACCAGACCAGCAAATTTCAATCCATGTAAAAACATTTTTAGTAGTCAATTTATAGACTGATCCCACCCAGCTCAACAAACAAATTAAATTTGTTGCAAGTTTATATGTATTAATTCAATTTAGTTTTGATTGCAATCAAGTATTATTATTTAATTCTGATTCTTAATTAAATGATTCCTTTTAATATTAGGAAGATGTTTTTAGTTGGACTGTATTCGGTCCCAGGCTAGATCAGACCACACCAGATCAGATCACACTCGAATAGTTGTAAAAATACACAAAGATCATAAATTTACCAGACTAGATGAGATCATACTAACAAATTTCAGTTCAAGGGAAAATATCATTATATATCATTTTTGCCATTTTTACAACAATGCTTGATGTACCCACTTTTATACTCACCTTATACCCACCATGTTTGTGGAGTTTTTTTTTTGTCTGTGAACCCGGGTTCACAGACAATATTTTGTCTGTGCAAAATATTGTCTGTGAGCCGGAGTTCACAGACAAAAAAAAAACCTCCACAAACATGGGTGTGTACAAAAGTGGGTATAAGAGTGGGTACAAAGATCTTTTTTGTTTTTATTATTATTATGGATAGTTATGATTTTAAAAGATAAATATTTCAAGTCTTAATTTAGTAAAAACACAGGCTTCTCGGATGGATTTTTAGGTCGTTTGATATAGGGGAGAGAGGAGCGGCGAAGGGAAACCCTAGCCTCCTCCTCTTCCTTCTTTTCTTCTCTTCGTTTGACTTCAATCATGGAAAAAGTTTGGTTTAATCATTATTTTCAATTCTATCTATACGTTTATTTCCTAGCGTTATCTAAAGATATTATTTTCGGTGGTGAAGTGTTGCTCGCCAGATCTATATTCCCCGCCATCATCGGTCGGGTGTTCTTGTGTGCTCGTAAAAGTTTTGTATTGACTTCTTTATCAATCATGAATCAAGATTTCTTCTGCATCGATATAGAGGCCGATCGCCCCCCTCATGAACCACCGCCGATCCAGGAATATGACATTGGATGGATTGCTTTTTGCTTTCTTTCCGGTGGCTGGTCAAACCGGAACAATTTCTGTACTTGGCTCCTTACCGGTGTCTGGAAAAACCGGCAAGTTCATTAATTCCTTTTCGGTGGCTGGTCAAGTCGAACCCATTTCTAGTAGCATGAGCAGACACACTGCGGTACGAGTCTATATTGTTGCAGGGTTAGCGAACATGAGTGCTTTTATATGGCGTTTTTTGTTCTTTGTCTCACCCTAGTGTAGTATTGAACGCTATGATTGTAATGCTTCGGCTTTTAGTTGTTATGTTTCTTGTTAAGATCTGATTATCAATAAATTAGGTATTTGATTTAAAAAAAGACAAATATTTCAATATAATTAAGTTTAATAAAATGCAAAAATGAACAAGAGTTTTATTTTTTGGAAAACTGTCAAATATGTCCTCGAACTTTAATAAAAATGTCAATTAAGTCCTTCTATAGGAGGTTCTTTCCGGCCGTCGCGATTTGGGGCAGTTCCCGGCAGAAATTTTTGATGAATTTTTTTTAACATATTATTCACCAAGTCTAGTTTACTCATACCAAATTTTAGCCAAAAATTCAATCGGTGTCTGGAAAAACCGGTTGAAGATAACTGCGCATTTTTGCGTTCTCGAATTAATTTGAATGCGCTCCGGATTAATTTTTTAGTTGAAATTTAGTTAAATTTTTAGTTGAAATGTTTCAAAAATTTTCGTCAAAAAATTAAAAAATTACACCTGAACGCCCCAAATCGCGATGAGACCGCCGACCGCCTACGCTTGCACGCCTGCGGATTCCGCCCTGCCCCTTATCGTCTTCTCAATCCATCAGTCCTAGCTCCTCTGCCTTCTGGAGTTCTGGTGCGGCGGTGCCAACGTACCAGTGGTGTGCTTCCGCCTTCCGGCCTACTGCCTACTGCGCTTCAGCGATTAGGATCCCTTTTCACCTTCAGGCTTCAGGTATTCATCGGTCTCCTCCGACCTCCTTAACTCTTGTATTCTTTTATTGACTAGTTCATTATTCATGATACCATAGTTGCTTAATGTTTATAAATGAATTGTTGATAAATGATAAATTCATATTCATGATCGTTAATTTTTATGTGTCAATATGTTCTGGGTTGTTGATGTTGTGGTTTGTTGATTAGTTCATACGTAGTTGGGGTAGTTTTTTTGAAAGTTATTAGTTCATAGTTGTTGAGTTGTTGAATTTTAAGTGATTACTATTGTTCTTGATATGTAATCAGATTCGGGTTTTGCCCTGGTTCATGTTAGTTTGTGTATGTGATGTTTATATGTGTTGTTCTGTTATAATTGTTAGTTTAAAATTGCAAACTTATTAGATTTGAAAATTTTATTACTTTCAAGGTGTTTGATGAAATGGTTGATTTTGGATGGGATAAATAAAAAAGAGAAGAGAATTAGAAAGAGCAGCCCTCAAATAGTTAAATCAAAAGAGTTCAATGGAAAATTTTGTTTGGGTCATGAAATGCATTTAAGTATTATTTTTGTATAATCTTTAGTTTTTATTTGATAAATGTGACTCAATTTTTTTGGAATATATAAATGGACTTTTCTTTATTATAAGTTTCTGAAGTAGTTTTATTTTGCATATTAGTTTAAAGAGAAATGGTTTTTACAAATACTTTTTACAGAATAAGCCCACAAACAATCTGTTGTGCTATTGAATAGTAGATTTTCCAATGCTTATACACGAACAATCTCTATGGAATAACAATTGAATGCACTTTTCTTTTCAGTTTGTAGATGTATTTCACTCCTTTTTCTATCTAGTCAATAATAAGACTCAAGATTCCCTCCTTGCTTCCTTGCTTCCGGCCTCACTGTGAAAACTGCTCTCCCTCCTTCCCTTCTTTTTTCCTTACTTGCTTACTTTAAAAATGGAATCTTTGTTTATTAGCCTTCCCTGTTGAAAGTTGAAACTGTAAAGTTAAGACAGCTTTTGTTACTTAGAATTGATGAATTGTCAAAAATATTATAGATATGCACAGTGTTCACATGATAAGGGCCTAAGGGGCATTTTTTCTTATTAGCAATTGCACATTTGCACCTTCGCAATAGCAATTCACTTAATAATATTTACGCTTCAAACTATCAAAGAAATATTTGAAACAATAGTCATTTCATTGAACCCTGAAGGTTAGCCTAATATAGTCCCAGGATCGGTTCACCTTGAATGGAATTTAAGGTACCAGTGAATATACCTTGGATAGACCAACCACCGGTGAAAGGAGTTAATGAGCCTATTGGGTAAGAGGTTATTAGGCTGAAAATGACATTCACAGGCTGCTGACTTGTCTAGTTTTCTGTAAGGAAAAATGTTTGATAATTTTGGGTTCAGCCAAATACGCAAGTTAAAAACTACTTAATTTGTAGATAAGCAGAAAAACCAAGAACCTGCTACTGATTGGGGCAAATGTCCGCTTTTTCTTTTGGCGAGTTTTTTTAATGACGTGTCATTAGGGTGTCATTGGTTAATAAAATAGGAAGTATACATTGTTACTAAGTTGATGCATTCTCTAGAAGAAGCATGTAGTAATTTCCACTTTGTATCTACTATTTATTAGGCTGATGCACTTTCAGAGTTTCAGATTTTTCTTTTAAGCAATGCTATTCATTGTTTATTTTGTTTTCTTTTTCGTAATGCATTTTAATTATGAAAAAGATTTCCTATTATCTCAGCTCTTTGATTTTACATTCCGTTAATCATTTTTGTTTGTTTCATAAGGCCCCAATTCCATCACAAGGCTTTGAAATCATGTTTTGGAAGTCCGTTTTGTTTCTAAGAATTTCATTACCCTCCTTCGGCCTAATAGGCTAATACTCCGTATAACTTTTTAAGTTTTAACATAGACTGTTTCCTCCAATAACATATACTCCGTGCATGATTACAATAAAGAATAGTTTAGTTCATTCTCTTTGTCATGTCATACATTTCATAGAGAACCAGTTATTTGTTCAATGATAAATGTCCTTTATAAAGGCAGTATTTTGAAAATCTATATTTCTTACTACAACTCAGAATTAAATTTCAGCACAATATGCAATTATGCATGTCTAATTTTGTTTCTTAAATGTTGTAATAATTGGTACAAAGCACTTGGACCCCATAGTCTATGTGTAATTTTGACGCATATATTCATAAACGCATTATAACATAAAAATTAAAAATAAAGGGCAGACGGGTGCACAAAGGCATCCTCGCAGGGCGAGAGTCCGAGGAAGGGTCCCACCACAATATTTTCCAAAATATTTGTTTCTTTTGAGTTTTTTGTAATTATTTTTAGGTGTATGAATCACAGAGGGCATGAAATAAAATATCTGCATTTGTATTTTTGTTATTTTCTATTACATTTTAGATACATATGTTTTTGATAGCTTTTATGTTTGTAAAGAGACATTGTTTTTTCAATTTGGTGAGAGTGAGAAAGAGAGCAAAGTGATTACACCACTCCAGGATGTGGGTGGGGATGGATTTTTAAAAGATGGAACTTTGTTACTGCGAACCAAAAGTGGATATCATCATTGTTTGTTGATATTTACAGCTCTCTCTTTACATTTTGGGGAAGCAACAAAACACTCAATACTAAAGCAAATTATAAAACATTTTACAGATACAGAAGCAAGTAAAATGTTATCCAGAATTGCCACTATTCAGCTTGTGAGTTCTCATCCGGAAGTATATGAACCGTGTGATGATTCATTTGCATTGGTTGATGCATTATTGGCGGATGAGGCTAACTTGTCAGATCACCGACCCAAATTTTGCATGGAAGTTGGTTGTGGCAGTGGGTACGTTGTTACGTCTCTAGCACTCATTCTACGACGATATGAAGTTTTAGCATCTAAGCCCCCCTCATATTATATTGCAACTGACATCAATCCTCATGCGGTGAGGGTGACTCGTGAGACCGCAGATGCCCATAGTGTTGATGTTGAGTGTGTCAATACTGATATTGCATCAGGAATGGAGGGGCGTTTGGCTGGGTTAGTGGATGTTTTGGTTGTGAACCCACCTTATGTTCCCACCCCTGAAGAGGAAGTTGGTCGCGAAGGAATCACCTCAGCTTGGGCTGGAGGTGAAAATGGTGTTACTGTCATCAATAAGATTTTGCCTGTTGCTGATAAGCTTTTGTCTGAGAGGGGTTGGCTGTATTTGCTCACACTTGCCGCGAATAACCCCTCGGGAATATGCCTTCAAATGAGAAAGAAGGGTTATGCATCTAGAGTCATTCTTAAGAGATCCACTGATGAGGAGAGCCTTCATGTTATCAAATTTTGGCGGGATGCCTCTAACTATCCGTTCACCTGGGCCAAAAATTAGTTTAATGATGAAGAATGGTCAAAGAATAAAATGTAAATAATGCATTAGTGATGTTCAAATTTCCCATACCCGGTGACGTCACAAGTCAGAGCTGTCACTCTCTAACAAGCAATGCTTTCAAGGTATGTAGATGATATGCATTTTGTTTAGACATTTACATAGAAGTGTGGTGTGTGTAAGAACTTGCCATTCAGATTCTTTTGATGGAACGTCGGCTTGTTTTGTAATCTAAATCACTTGAGTGGGAAGAGTGATTGTTCTCCTTAATATTTCTCATATTGTCCAATAAAGCCTCTGAAAATCCTTTAGGATCCTTCAGGATCAGTTTTGGGCTTTTGGCGCATGTACAATTGGATGATTGAATTGTTTTTTAATTTCCTATTTAACCGAGGAAAGAGAAGTGTTTTAACCTTGCCCCCAGAGTTGTCGTTTTGAGCTTGTATGAGAAGTTGTTTTGGGCTTCTATCTGCTGGAAAAAGTTGGGGCTTTCCTCATTGTACATAATGTACGCCCTGGCCACATGACTCTGGGAAAGCAATGTGTGTTAGAAATTACGGGGTTCAGAAGGTGTTCAGCCTAGATTTTCTTAACATACAAGCTATATGGAATTTTGCTGATGCTCTCATCTGTTCAAAGGTTCCAGGTCACCTCTTTTAGCCGGTTTGTTTTTGCCCAACATAATATGGGAATGGATTTTGATGCCCAACATAATATGGGAATGGATTTTGATGCCCAACACAATAATTGGAATGGCATAGTTCCTATTGCCAAAACATAGCTATTCTGTTGCAACCTACCCAGTCGGTGATACAAATACTTCGTATATGCTTTTGGTGACCAAGAAAATAATTTCAGATAAAAAAAAATTAATAGTTGAAAACAGATACCTGTGATTTCAATAAATATTTATTTGTTTAACCTGTTTCTTATGTTATTTTGGTTCCATATGCATAATTGCATACAAGTATACAAACTGGCAGTCATATGAGCCCAGGGAAAAAGGGCACGCCACATGTTTGTTAAAATATCTCAAATGGAATGAAATTAAAAAAAGAACAACCCTTAGCTTGAATGAAGTACTCACGTCTGATTTGCTTCAACTTCAGCTGGCTTTTACGATTTTCACTTGTATTTTGATAGTTTGCTTTATGTGATGTTCATAATAATATGTAGTAATATAATAAGACTTTCTTTTATAAGGGATCTCCTGTTTGTTTTATTTAAAGGTAAGGTATCGTATTTGTTGCTGGACGAAGAGTACTTAATTATATGCGTCTCAACTGTGATTTTTACCATTTATTGGCACTTTACATTTGCATATTTCAACCATATGTTCCAACATTCCCGTGGAATTAGTCTGAGTGGTGGTATGCTAACAAAGGAGGCCGTGGTCCACGACATTTCCGGGTCATGGTCGTGGTAGGGAAGGATCCTCATACTCATCACATGTTCATGCGGTTCACATCAGTGAAGCTCTACTTAGACAGTCATCTACCAGACTACCACCATCGACCATGCTTCCATGTTGATGCTTTCTGGTGCTCAATGGAACACTTTGCTAAGTACTACGTATGATGATAAATGTAGTACACATTCTTGTATAATGGAGAAACTCACATGTACGCATAATCTCTTCCTTTGAATGGTTACTAGACATAGGAGTATTGTTCCATATGATGGGCTCAAAAATATCTTCACTAGTCTCGAAAGATGAATATATTATGCGATTGTAAACATTTAATACCCTGCTATTCCCGTTTCCATAAACATTTTATTTATCATGATATAGGGGTGTTTGGATCTGATTCTTAAAACTGATTCTGTTCCTTCAGAAAGCAGAAACAGAAGTTGGAATGTTTGAGTGAAAGTGCAGAAGTGATTCTGGTGCTCTAATTTACTTTTAGAATCAATTTTTTAGAACCTGGGGGAGACCGGCTTATGAAAACTGTTTTTGATTCTGCTTCCGCTTTAAAAAAGAAGCAGAAGCAGAATCACTTTCAAACACCCCCATAGACTAAGTTCTCCAAGTGTTCCCCTCGATCCTCGAACCCCACCGGCCGGCCCAACTCCCAAAAATAGCCTCAGAAAATGAAACCATTGGGAAAGTCACGAATGTTTTTACTTTATACTTCCCCCGTCCTGCTAAGATTGTCTCACTTTATCTTTTCGGTTCATCCCACTAAGATTGTCTCATACCAAATTTGATAAAATTCGTATTGCTCTAAATCATTTTACTTTATTCTTTATCAATTCAATATCAATCTCATAACCCACTTTTTATTGGTTTGTGTTTTAGACTTTTAGTCTCTCTTGTCCGATTGTTAGTGGGACAGAGAGAGTAATACCGGAGTAATCCTCAAGGCTATTTTCGGAATAAGAGAGGGTCGAAAACATCAACTTGGGGTCAAAATAATATGGGTAAGAGTGAATAAAATATACGGAGTATATACCTTGTTTACCGTGGCGTAGCCATGAGTGTAAATTCGGTTTTAATGTGTTCCATAATTTTAAAATGAGAAATTTAATTAAAAGTCTAATCATTGATACATGCGTTTATTATTAGTTCTGTAAGACTGTCACATTAATATAAACCAATTATTGTTTCACAATTAATTAATCTTTCCATACCAAGGATTTTAATTGTAATGGATGAATTTATATCTTCAATATCAATGAAAGAATAAAATATGAAATTTATCAAATAAAAATATAAATACGTACGTTAAAGCCCCTTTTAAATTTTCTGTAGAATCTATAAAACAATTACACTATATAAGGCTTTGGGCTACTCCTCCTATCAGGTTGATCTTTTAGGATGGAACCCCGGGTCTTAACAATAAAAACTACCAATGCGATGATGCATACTGTTTAACTCTTTAACATGCACTACAAAAATTGCTACGGGATTAATTAATTAATTAATTAATTAATTAATGTTTACATAGCCACATAGATAGATAATTTAACACATTTATAAATTAAAGAAACACTACACATAATTATTAAATTTATCATGTAAGAATTGAAAAGAATCAACCGCTAATTAATTAGTAGATGATGATGTGGCGGCGGGGAGGTGTCTACCGGAAACTTGTCGGCAATAAGAGTCGCAGGCGGGGCGGCATGCTTCAATCGTCGCACCAATTACCCGCATGCATGTCGGCATGCATCCCTTCGCGCAATCTGACATTATAATTGCTGCGTCGCTCCTGCTATCTTTCCAGACCACCACCATCATCAGCACCACCGCTACGAGGATGTTAGCCGCCGTGCCTCCGCCGCCGCCGACTCTTTTCCTTATTGCCATTTTCTCGTCGCCTTACGTAAACGTAATGATCGAAGATGAGAGATGTTTATGACAATGGAGATCGAGATGTGTATATTAATTTATTTATAGGGCTGATGTATATATATATTTAATGTTATCTCGGAAATATGAATATATGGATGAATTGAATGTATTGTTTATGGATTTGGATCCTCTCCCGTGCGGCAAAGGTGCCTTGCGGCATCCAACGGCAGGGACAGTAGGTGAGGAGAAGTGGTGGGGCTGCTTTAGTTAAATCGCGTGGCTATAAAAGCCACGCACCCTACCTTGCTGCTATAACAAGGCAGAGAATCCAGATCCATTTTTATTACTTGTGCAGCTTCCTATTTTTACGGAAAAGGCGGATCACCACCTCAAAGGCTATGCTAGCATGGTACGCTCCAAATCTGCCATTGTGACGAGGGGTTTTGACTTTTCAAGGCCAGACCGAATTAGAACCGCAATTAATGTCCCAAAGTAATTGATTTCATCTTTACTAGACCGAAATTTTACTTTCATTTTTTTTTAGATATTTCATCTTTTAAACAATTAGTTTTGAATATTTAAAACTTATCTTATTAGCTTGAATATATTGATTTCTATTATATGTAGTATTGTAGTACTTTTATACTACCTCCGTTCTTTTTTATTAGCCCTCTTAGACTTTGACACGGGTTTTAATAATAAAGTAGTAGAGTAAGTATAGAGTGATGTGTATGGTAAATGATAAAGTAGGAAAGATGGTGTATTAAAAAGAGTAGAGTGATGATAAAGTAGGAAAAAAAAGTGTATTAAGAAGAGTAAAGTGATGATAAAGTAGGAAATAGAAAGTAGTTTGTAAAAAGTAAGTGGGGTAAAAGTAATAAAAATGAGGGTATTTTCTCAAAAACTTTCCTTAAAGGGAAAGGGGGACAAATAAAAAAAACGTCCCAAAAAGGAAAGAAGGACTAATAATAAAAAAGAACAGAGGGAGTATTGTTTTATGTATGATGTGTTCAATTCTGATTTAATCTTTTATATTAGAACAAAAAACACCTCGTAATATGATACCTAGCTAGTACAAGAAACTAGATACTATTAATTTGTGAATTGTAGTTCAATGAATGGCTTAACTAATTAATTAGCTATATAAATTGAACAAAAACAATTAATCACATATGTATTTGTTAAATATTATATTAGCCACTAAGGGTATTTTGGTCGTTTTATCTTGTATGTTTAGATCTGATATATATTGTACATATACTCCTTGTATGTTCCATATTCATCATCCGGTTATCAATATACATATGTCTACTTCCACACAAGAGCTTCTTCTCTCTTCAATGGCTTTATCATGGTATCAAAAGCTACACAAGGGATCCTCATAATATCATACGATAGTATGTTTTTCGCGAATCCATTTTTCCGGTTGCTGCTTCGATTCTGGACTGTGGAGATACTGGGTCTCTAGTTTTCCACCATATTTCTCATGCTGCTTTGATATTTGGATTCAAGTTAGTTTTCCCCTATTTTGTGATTCGACATTTGCTTTCATTTGAGGATAGATTTGGAACTCGTTGGACTTGCTAGTTTTGTTGTTGGGTTTGTCAATTTGTTTGTTATCACTATGGCCGGGGGAGAGGATTCTGCACTTCTAATAGTGTTCGATTGGATGGTACAAACTATGCGTATTGGAGCTTTGGGATGATTTTTTTTTTAAAAAGAAAAGAAAATGTTGAAGTATATCTCTGGTGCAGCTACCATCCCTATAAAATCCGTTGATGGAGAAATATTTAATGAGTTGCTTGATATCTGGGATACCAATAACTCAAAAATTATCACATGGATAAATAACTCCGTTGAACATAGAATTGGTATGCAGTTGGCAAAATATGAGACTGCAAAATAGGATTGGGATTATCTGCAGAAGTTGTATGTTAGGTCAAACCTCGCTGTTCAGTATTAATTAGAGGCTGATATTCGAGCCCTTGTTCAAACAGAGGATATGGGTATTGAAGAACTCTACAACAAAATGACTATGCTTTGGGATCAATTGGCTGCAATTGAGTCTGCTGAATTGCGAGGTTTTGCTCCTTATATTGCTCGCAGGGAAGAACAACGTCTGGTTTTCTTTTTAATGGCTCTTCGTAGTGAGTTTGAACTTATGCGTGGGTAAATTTTACATCATACTCCGCTGCCTTATGTGGATTCTGTGGTTCATGAGTTACTTGCCGAAGAAAATCATCTTAAAACTCATACTAGTAAGGCCACCCATGCTTTTACACCTTCTGTTCTTGCTGTTCCCACTGCAGACTCTTCTGCCATGACAACCCGTACACATAAATTTTCACAAAATCGACACATGGGGAATCATAATATGATCACTCAAGAATGTGCTTACTATAAGGAGAAACGGCACTGGAAAAATCAATGCCCAAAATTGCTTGAAAGATATCGACAATCTGGACAACCACGAGGAGGATGGGCACCTTAGTCACAATACCATTCTCATACTGGCCATAGACATTTCTCTAGTGGAGGATTGCAATATCATTTCCGCCCAACTACAACTGCATTTGTGCCGTATTCGGACCAGTCGCCTAGAGAGGTACCTGTCGGTCAAGAGACATCATTGGCTGATGAGTTTCAGAAGTTCTTAGCCACCTAGTGTTCGCCTCAGTCACATGCTATGTCTACCTCATCCTCCACTGCCTCAGGTTCGTTTTCTTCATGGATTTTAGACTCTAGAGCTTCCCAACATATGTCTCCCAATTTGTTTTCTTTTACATCCTTGTCCCCTCATGTTTTTGAAACAACAGTATCCACCACAGATGGATCTCCTATGTCATTGATAGGAATTGATAATGTCCAAACATCAAATATATCCTTATCTGATGTTTATTGTAATCCTAAATTAGCCATGAATCTTACCTCTGTTGGTCAATGATGTGATTCTGATAATTCTGTTCATTTTTTCCCTTCCACATGTCATATACAAGATCTCAAATCCAAGGAGCAGATCGGGACCGACCATAAAGATGGGGGGCTATACATTTTGGATAGGTTGCACAATGCTAGACATGTGACTGCCGCAAGTGTCGATTTATCCAAATTTGATTTGACTTCATCATCTTCTAAATTTGTATTATGGTATTCTAGACTTGGTCATGTTTCTAGACCTCGCCTTCAGTTATGATTTGTAGTGGTGTTTTGGGAACTTTGAAACCTCATTATATTCTTGTTTGTAGTCACTACTACATTTTCGAGTCTAATGTAACGATAAAATTGCAACACTTATTTAAAGTGTTACAAAAAATTGGTCTATTGTAACAATTTTATACATCTTGTTACGTTTATTGAGCAACCATTACAGTTGGCAAGTCCTAATGTAACGTTTCAACAACTCCAAAAACATCGTTACATTTAATTTAGTAAATGTTACATTTAGTGAAATTGAATGTAACACTCTCGTACAACCAAAGTAAAAATGAGCGGCAAATGAAATTTCCTAAAATCAAAGTTTCCGCCAAGAATTAATCCCAAAATCAAAGTTTCACCGGCCAGAACAAAACCCCCAAAAATGTACAACCTAAAACCTAGTTAAAAACTTAAAATTCGTCTGTCCCCGAAGCCATTTCTTCTCTATACGAGAGCTTCTCTCGATCTCTCTCTAAAAATTGCTTCCAGGCCAGGCTGTTTGCGACCTCGAGAGGTTACTATCTAACGAATAGTGGGAGAGGATGGCGCCCACCATGTATTCGGCGGTGTTGAGATGCCGGAATTCTGAATGTGATGTTTAAGATGGGGCTTGAATAACATGGAGGCTGTTCACATCCTTCAGTACCACGAGTGCGGAGTCGGTCGACGCTTGTGCGCATGATGGAGGATCATTTGAGGCAGCGCAGTCTGCAAGGATGACAGGTAAGTGGATCCGTGGAGGGGTTGCTGATTGTTCAGGCGAGATGGTAGCACCGACTGAGCAGGAGGCCAAGAGATCGTGTGAGACTTATCCGTATGCTTCTTCCCTTTTCTCACTAAGTTGGGTAACATATGGATCATATCTTCTACTTTTCCATCATTTATGCTTTATTTTGTGAATTTACTTCCCCAAAGTATGTCCTTATACCTCCCCTTTGAACTTTGCACTCTTTATCTCTGAATTTTTCAATTCAATTACTTAATTCACTGTCCTGATTCTTTAGATTTCTATGTTATTTGGGTAATCTCTTGCTGATTCTTTCTCTTTATTCATTTGTGGATTGTTTTATTAGAGTTGATTACAAAAATCACAATTTGTGTATAAAATCCTGTCCTTATTAATCTTCTTTGGTGCAGTTTTTGCTCTCTGCATTTTGGCAGGTTGTTTTATGCATCTTTCATTGGTAAATTGAGTTTCAAGAAGGCTAAGGAAAACCAAAAGTTCTGTCATATGTTAGTTCTGCACAAGAAGTGTTCGAAGAAATGCTTGAACGGAAAAAACGGGTACTTTTTCTTCCTATTTCCATGATTTGGTTGAAGATGTTATTGTGTTCATTGCAAATATTTTTGTATGAAAAATAATAATCTCCCGGTTTTGTTAGTTTTAAAGAAAACATAAGTATGAATACTCTAAGAGTTAGTTGCAAGATTGATACTCTGTGTTTAGGTTTTGTGTTTTGTGCTCCTGACTAGTTTTTATTTGAATTGAATTTGTATATAGCATAACATTTACTATTTCTTTTCAATTCAAATTTGTTTGGAGAAGGTTCGTATGTGATTTTGAAAGTCAATATTTAGCCTTTTTGTGATGTGAGATGATTTTAGAAATGTTATATAAACAGTTCTTGAATTCTTTAGTGTCTCTCTTATTCGTTCATACCAAATTTTGCTAATTTTATATACGCAGATTAGTATTTAGCTTTCATCAGTCAAGATGTATTAAACGGTTATTCTGATTTTTAAATTCTTGGAGATAGACAACTATATTTTGTGATGACAAGCTGCCGATTATGGATATATAATTTGCTTATTTAAAATATTAAACACATATAGCATCAGGTAGAGTGTTCCAACGGCCTTTACCTCCGGTCATCTCAGTTTGATATGCTTCCCCCACCTCTGCCTTTCTCGTTCTTTTGAAACTTTTCCTTTAACTTGTCCTCAAGAAACAAATTCTATATGTCATGGCTTTAATTATTATTATATCATGTCGACAATATACTTCTGTCCATTCATTCCTGATCCTAATATTTTGATGAACCACAGTCCTGAAATAAAGATCAAATTAGAGATTGAACATGGAAGCCGGGAATGTATAATCAGTGTTTGGGTATTGCAATTTCTGGCTGGATTGTTCAGACAAGTGGGTATCAATGAAAAAGTCAGAGGTGGTAAGTGAAGAATACTCGCCTGAAAATTGATTTTGAAAGTGTAATGGTTTTGGAGATATAAGTTTGCTGAGAAAAATAGTTTTACAGGGAAGTGTCTTTATAGATAATGCCATATTGTCAGCCAGAATCCACTGGCTTGCTTACTGCTGTTGGTTATGGTTTGTTTATAGATAATGCCATATTGTCAGCCAGAATCCACTGGCTTGCTTACTTGCTGTTGGTTCTAGTTTGTGGATTTCATTGTATTATCCTTTTTTCTCTTCTAATATCCTTTTTCCTATCATGCTTTCTGTTCTTCAAATTTATAGTATAATGATAAACATTTTACATGTATTTTTCCCCTCAGAATTCAGATGTTTTTTTTCATTTCAGATTGTGGTTAAAAAATGACTATGCAACAAGGGCGTTTTATTTTTCATTTACGCACTATATCCTCACTTTTTACTATATTTTGTTGCTGATAAAAGGGGATAATTGGTAGCATAATACTCTTTCTCAAAGTTGATGTCCAAATGATCAAGGATAAGATAATTATGGATTATGTGCCATAAAATTGTGTTTTCTTTCATTCTGTTGGATGTTCTAAGAGCTTTTTATGAACTTCGACAGAAAGCTATTGAAGTACATAAATTAGACTTCTACATGGTGAAGTACATGCTGCAATTCAAGTACTATTATGCCTTGGGGTTTTCTGTGCAATTCAAGTAATAATAAAAGGAGTGTTTCCTTTACACAAATAGTTGTATATGTATGCATGCATATATACATTGTGAATTTCCTTTCATTCAAATTATTCTTTCTTTGTCAGGTTTATATATGTGGGCCCTTGTATAAATCATCTTAAGGTTTTCCATCCTCTCCCTCATAATTTTCACAGGATAGAAAAGGTCCTTTCACTTTTGCATACTATACATTGCCATGACTTTTAATTATTTGGCCTATCATCACTTGCATGATATTTGCCTGCCAAAATTCAAGCTCTGCATGTTACTTAATTTGGTTTCAATTTGGTTTCTTATATAACCAGTAATTGTATTAATTGTGTTAGTTGTGGTACTTGTGAACAATTTGGTATTAGTAGAAATACGAATGTTAATAATTTGTAATGTTTTTCTTATATGCAGATAAGAGATACAATGAAGATAAAAGGGTGAAACCAGATGATGATTTGCACTTCTTCAAGGAATGCTTTTTCAAATAAGGAGCAGCTTTGTATTGATTTTTTCTTTTGATTAATATACCATTTTGTACTTCGAGTATGTGTGAGTGACTCACTGACTCATAGATTGATGTTACTAATGTGTGTAAATATATCTTTGATTTAAGTGAAACATGTATATTTTTTAATAAGATTGGATGTGTACTTGTTAATTTCATTCTCTCACAGCATTAGGAAGTTGTAAGTGTGTTGTTTGATGTATATGTATGTGCACCATAAATAAATCAATATATATAATTAACCAGGGTCAACTTATTTTCAAAACCGTTACCCTTGTGCATGTTACAAACCGTTACATTTGTACACAATCTGTTGTAATGTTTATGGCATTATTGTGAGCACCATTACAGTTGCTCATAAAATTTGTTACGAGCCGTTACATTAGAGCAAATGCAACGCGAGCGAATGTAACGACGACAAACTATTACAATAAGTCGAATGTAACAGTTTTTTGGACCAAAGGTCACGAAATCTGCTGTTACAAAAGACCCGAAAATGTAGTAGTGAGTGGATGTAAACTTGGAAAATTTTCTGCCTTACCTTTTAATTTAAGTGAGTCTAAGTCTACTGAACCTTTTGATTTGATACACTCTGATGTTTGGGGGCTTGCCCCTATTACCACCAAAGTGGGGGTCTCGATATTAAGTTTCTTTCATTGATGATTACACTCGTTATTGTTGGGTCTATCTTATGAAACATCGTTCTGTCTCTTAAATATATACACAACTTTTCAGTCATATGTTAAGACCCAACACTCTTCTGTTGTCAAGTATTTTCGTTCTGATTGAGGTGGAGAATATACTTCTGGCAATCTTTCTAATTTATTTGTTTCTGATGGAACCACACACCAATCTTCTTGCACTGATACCCCACAACAAAATGGGGCAACTGAAAGACAACATCGCCACATTGTAGAAACTGCTCGTTCTATGCTTTTGTCTGCTAGTGTTGCTAGCGATTTCTGGGGAGAAGCAGTTCTGACCGCTGTCCATTTAATTAATATGATTCCCACAACTCATAATTTAGGTATTTCTCCATATGAGAATTTGTATGGCCGTACTCCTCACTATTCAAACTTGAGAGTTTTTGGAAATATTGTTTCGTTCTTAAGCTTAGTGTTGAATGCACTAAGTTGTCATCTCATTGTGCCATATGTGTTTTTCTAGGGCTATGGTGAGTCTCAAAAAGGTTTTTGTTTTTTGGGAAAAGTGGCAAATAAGCCCTCGAACTAACCAAAAAAGTGCAAATCACCCCTTATATAGAAGGCTCTTCCGGCCGTCGCAATTTGGGGAAGTTCCCGGTTGAATTTTTTGATAAACTTTTTTGAGCATCTTCTTCATTAAGTCTAGTTTACCCATACAAAATTTCAGCTAACAATTCAACCGGGAAGACAGTCAAATGGTTTTCTGAAATATACTGCGTTGTTTATCTACGCAGTTATCTTCAAAAATTCATTTGACTCCGTTCCCGATTGAATGTTTAGCTAAAATTTGGTATGAGTAAACTAGACTTAATGAAGAAAATGCTCAAAAAAATTAATTAAAAAATTCCATCGGGAACCGCCCCAAATGGCGACGTCCGGACAGAGCCTCTTATATAAGGGGTGATTTGCACTTTTTTGATAAATCTACTGGAAAGTTGTATGTTGCACGTCATGTTGTCTTTATTGAGAATATTCCTTTCTACTCCATAACTTCAGTCTCTAATAATATCACTCGCTCTCATCTTCTTAGCATTGACCCATTTAGCATTCATGAAAATCATATGAACATGTCTTCTAGTGCTATCACAAATGAGGAAAATGGTGACCTTGATGATGGCTCCCCCTTGTGGCTTCCCAAGAACCTCCAGTGATTGTAGATCCTCCTCCACATCCTCCCATTCATCCTCAATCTGATCGTATCCGTAAGTCCACTAAATTACCTGATTTTGCTTATTCATGTTATTGACAAACATTCAGTGCTTTTCTATCCCCTATTCATCGTTTGTGTGAGCCCTCATCTTATGCTGAGGCATCAGGAGATCCACTTTGGAAACAGGCTATGACTGAGGAGCTTACTGCTTTAGCTAGAAGTCACACATGAGATCTTGTGTCCATGCCAACATGAAAGAAACAAATTGGATCTCGATGGGTATATAAAATCAAAACAAAGTCCGATGGGTCTATTGAACAATACAAGGCATGTTTAGTTGCGAGAGGATTCTCTCAACAGTATGGTATGGATTATGATAAGACTTTTGCTCCAGTTGCCAAGATGGCAACTGTTAAAGTTCTCCCAGTAGTTGCATCTGTACGTCAGTGGCACATCTCACAGTTGGATGTTAAAAACGTCTTTTTGAATGGTGATCTCAAAGAGGAGGTCTACATGACTCCTCCACCCGGTGTTCCCCATGCTGTTGGACAAGTTTGTAAGCTTAAGAGAGCGCTTTATGGGCTCAAACAATCCCCTAGAGCTTGGTTTGAGAAATTTTCTATGGCGATTTTCTCTCTTAGTTATGCATCTAGTCATCGTGATCCTGCATTGTTTATCAGGTCCCCCTCTGCAGGTCGTGTGTTGCTTTTGCTATATGTCAATGATATGACTATTACAGGTGATGACGTTGATGGCATTGCAGTTCTGAGAAATACTTTAGTTCGTAAGTTTGACATGAAAGACTTGGGATCATTAAGGTATTTTTTGGGTATTAAGAGAGATTCTTCTCCACAAGGTTACCTTCTTTCTCAATCTAAATATGTTGCTAATATTATAGAACGAGCTTGTTTGAAAGATAATAAGTTTGTGGATTCTCCACTTGAGGTTAATGTTCGTTATTCTCCTTTTGATGGAACCCCTATAACTGATCCTACTCTATATCGTACTATTGTTGGAAGCTTAGTTTATCTTACTATTACTCGTCCATATATTGCTCATGCTCTTCAGATTGTTAGTCAATTTGTTATTTCTCCTACTTCTGTACACTGGGCCGCGGTTGTTCGTATTCTTCGCAACCTTAGAGGGACTATTTGCCAAATTAAATCTTGTTGTTTCCTTTTACCTCTTCTTTAGAGCTATCTGCCTTCTCAGATGCAAATTGGGCTGGTAACTCAACAGATCGTAAATCAACTACAGGTTTTTGCATCTTTCTTGGGGATTCTCTTATATCTTGGAAAAGCAAGAAACAAGACATTGTACGTGCCACGATATGATCTTCTATTGAAGCAGAGTATCGTGCTATGACTTCTACCACTTGTGAGATTGTTTGGTTGCGATGGTTACTTGCTGATATGGGAGTATATTGTACTGCTCCAACACTCCTTTACTGTGATAACAATTAAGAGTGCCATTCAGATTGCTCATAACTCCATATTTCATGAGCGTACAAAGCACATCGAGATCGATTGTCATAATACTCAACATCATTATGAGCATGGAACCATCTCCTTGCCTTTCATTTCTTCTTCAGATCAGCTTGCAGACTTCTTTACAAAAGCTCATACTATTGATCGTCATTGGTTTTTTGTTAGCAAACTCTTGATGATCCTTGCAGCATCATCATGAGTTTGAGGGATCGGAGAGTGTTAAATATTATATTAGCCATTAAGGGTATTTTGGTCATTTTATCTTGTATGTTTAGATTAGATATTGTACATATACTCTTTGTATGTTCCATATTCATCATCCGATATCAATATACGTAAGCATGTCTTCTTCCACACAAGAACTTCTCTCTTCAATGGCTTTATCAGTATTATCATCAGCACAAGATAAATAAAGTAAATAGAAATCATCCACCAAGATTTTTAATAATTTTTATTATAAAATATTACTAATCTAAATATGTAAATAATGTGCAAATTGAGTTAATGCCTAAACCATTTTATTACTAGATGAGGGCCAAAGAATATCTCACATATTTTATTGAATAAAAGCTAATACAAAGAGTAGGAGGATCAGACAAAACCGAGGCCTACTCAGAGATTACAGAACATAGGGATAATTAGTAGCATCAAATTTGAGAGTACCAACAAAATGATTAAAATGATCATTTTGGTATTAATAGAAGTGCAATGATGATAAGCTAATAAGTAATCCACAACCTTATTAATTTCTGGCTCGATGTGCGTTATTGTCGTGTTGTAGGTCTGAAGCTTTTTCTTATTCGTGACCAATACTTCCAATGCTGAAGTGAGTGACCCGTTATGCCTTCGTAAACCTCTTTACTACCAACCTCTAAGATTATATTAGCAAACATGTTAGTGCGGATATGATGGATTATATCATAAATAACATCATTTATAGGTGCTTTGAAGTGGCTGGGTATGATATCCGACCGAGTATAGATAGAAGACACCCGATCGAGTATCTATGGCAGTAGTTTAGAAACTGTTAGAATCACATACACCCGACCTTGTTTTGCTCTAACTGTTAGAATCAGATTTTCCCATGGTCTCTTGCTTTATTTGATCTTGTAAGATCTTTAGATCGAATCATACCCGACCGGATATGACTTATACCTGATCGGGTGTGACACCAAATCACACTTCTTGCATGATTTTTTGCTCCCTTGCACCTTCCTTTGATCTTGTAAGATCTCTTTTATGTTCAATTCCTTTAATTTGTTGTAGACTAATTTATTGAAGCTTAAGATCTTATGAAACTAATAAATTACAATGAAATAGAAAAATAAAAGGTTGCACCATAAATGTGCAATTACTATAACTACACACCGTAAAAATTAATTAAAAGTAAAAACATAAACACTCAAAAACCAATGCAATCACTCTGCTATCGGTTTTATAACTGAAGGGCTTGCTAAATCCCGGGAGAAATTTTTGTATGCCAGAAATAGTTCCTTTAGAGAACGTCTATCGCATCTCGAGCTACTAATATACTTTTAGTTCTTTTTAATGATTATTCTGCAGATCAATTTTCGAATCTAGAAGGTCAACTAGGTTGACTTAGGAGTAATAAGGTCAGCACATTGATTTTGGATGGATAGAGCCAACACCTACGATGGATTTTAGAGGTATCAACGTTGAATTCTTCTTCCGAATTCCAGCAAGTGGCGAACGATGGACACTGACACCGGTGTGGATAAGTTTCGATCTCCTATTAAGGATGACAATATGAATTAAAGGTGACTTTTAGAGAGTGACGGTGATGGAGTTGCACGAGGGTAGTGGATGGCGACGTTGGTGTCACCGGTGTCGCCGATCATAAGAGGACAGCAATACAGAATGACAACTACAGAGGTTGGCTGTACAGAGGTTGGCTGTGGCGGCACCAAAGGTTGACATGATTGGCATCATTGGAGAAGGCGGCGGTCATGCACCTGATTTGGCACATCTGTGTAAAATTTTGTTTTATAATATTAATTACTAATGAAGAAATTAGTTTTCAACTCTTGTTTTTTTACTTCTATAAAATTCTGAAGTCTTACTTTGTCAATTTAACATGATTGACTCTTATAATATATTGAAGTCTTACTTTGACTGATTTAATACGTTTTATTTTAAGTTAGGAAATTTTCTTTTCCATAAGTCAAAGTACAAACATAACAACAATAACAACAACAACAACGTGAATATATATAAGACATCTTATTTAGGTAATAAGTTTACAAATAGTGCAAATTGTAACCCTAACTTGTAAATTACTACAGATTAATTTGAATATACCCCAAAGTGTTTCAAGTTAAGAATAGGCACAGGAGAACCATTCCATCTTTTCAAACAATCCAGCAGTGGATCGATCAATTTTCCTTCACAAATGGCCATGAACACCTTGTCACATTCCTCCCCCGGTGACCTCGTCAACTCGCCCGTCAACAATACCGTACCCAAATCTTCCCTCACAAACTTGTACATTGGGTAGGACCGGCAATCCCGAATGCGATTAGGAATTGCGGGCGTGCCACTCTCCACATCACCCCTCGCGCTCGCCATCGCCCTCGGCAAAACCCACCTGAGTTCCTCCTCGAAGGCGCCGATCTTCAGGAAAACAGAGCTGCTGGAGTTCCTCTCCGACTCTCTGCCGGACATGGCGTGGCCCACCAGGACTTCCCGCAGTTTTGGCATCAAAGGGTAGTTTCTGCTGCATGGGTCGTCGGCGTAGGCAAAGACGTATTCTCGATCAACTACTTTGAGTAGTTCGCCTTTACAATCAACGGTCAACGCTATCTCCGCAGCAATACTGACAGCGTTTTTCGCAGAGGCCTTCAAGTTCTCCTCTAAGTTCCTAAGGTCAACGGCTTGGCAAAGCGCAACCATGTATGTGGCAGACATAAGCTTAAGAATGTCAACCGCCTCAGCGGTCTTCCTCGACGAGATCAAACCCAGAGAGTTCACGTCTTGGTTGTGTTGCTCGGCGCTCTGGACGTGATTCGTCACTGGGTTGCCGAGAAACTGGAGCTCCGAGCAGTACGCCGCCATTGCGATCTCTGCCCCTTTGAACCCGTAATCCAAGCTCGGGTCCCGGCCACCAGAGAGATTTGATGGCAACCCGTTGTTGTAGAAATCGTTGACCAGCTCGGAGAACTGGGCAAAAACCAGTTTTCCGATGGAGGCGATAGCTAATCGGACATTATCCATAGAGACGCCGATCGGCGTGCCTTGGAAGTTCCCTCCATGTAAGGCCTTATCTCTTGAGACATCTATCAATGGGTTGTCATTAACCGAATTGATTTCTCTCTCTATCATCTTCGTCGACGCTCGGATTACCTCAATCTGTGGGCCCAACCATTGCGGCGACGTCCGAAGGGCGTAACGATCCTGCTTGGGCTTTAATAACGGGTCGAATTCGTGGGCCTTTTGTGCCTCTTTTACATACGAGCTACCTTCTAGAATGTGTTCCATTATTGCGGCGGCCTCGATTTGTCCCGGGTGGTGTTTCAATGTATGGGTCAAATGGTCGGTGAATTCGGGCTTTCCGTGCATGACCTCAGCGAAAAATGCCGACAAAACCTCTGCCAAGAGCACCAAAACATTAGCGTCAAATAACACAGTCGATGCCAAGCCGGACCCGATGGCGGTTCCGTTCACCAACGCCAGGCCTTCTTTGGGTTGTAGTTCGAAAAACCCGGAACCGATCTGGGCCTCTCTGAACGCCTGTTGTGCGTTTAGAGAGTCCCCGTTCGGACCGACAGCTTTGGAGTTGGCCCGGCCAGTTAAGATCCCAGCAATGTATGAGAGCGGGACCAAGTCGCCAGATGCTGTGATGGTCCCACGGAGAGGGAGGCAGGGGGTGATGTCGTGGTTGAGCAGCTTGGTCATAGCTTCCAAGATCTCGAACCTGATGCCGGAGTAACCCTGGAGCAAGGTGTTGACCCTGACTAACATGGCGGCCCGGGTGGCGGAGTGGGGCAGCATGTGGGACGATTCCGTCCCAAACCCGAATATCCCAGCATTCAAGAACCTGTTCAAGTTAAAGTTAAATTGCAATTAACACAAAATTTCATGTTCAAAATCAAAATATAAAGAAATAAAGAATGGGAGATTTGCAATTTAATTCCCATAACTTTGAGTTGTGATTGTTACTAGTTATGCAAGCAAGCAGGAATATTTGTGATTGTTTCTACTTTAAAAAGTGAATTTTTGAAGTGATTTTGGAGAAATTGTTTAATAGTAAAAATTAGGGAGTATTAACAAATTTAATATTTAGACTCGAGATTCTATCCTAAAAGGTCAATCTTTTAACAATTTTATTCTCATAACTTTGATTAATGTTTGAGAAAAAAGTGCTTTTGAAAAGTAAAATTGGATAGTGTTTAATAAGATAAGTGATTTTGTGTGATAGAAAAAATGAAAAGCACTTTAAAACACCTCTCAACTTTCTTCTAGCTTTTAGTTTTTAAGTGTTTAATTTAAGTAGAAAATGCCACTCGAAAACTCTCATTTCAACATTTTTAAGCGAGAAACTAAAAATCACTTTTTTTAGCAGCAAAATCACTTTTTTTCAATCTCTTAACTTGCAAATACTCCCATGCATATATAATTGCACAGAAATGCTCAGGTCCCTCCGGAGGGACGGGAGCAGCCGTCCAAAATTCACTGTTTGGGGCGGTTCCCGATGGAATTTTTCGATGAAATTTTTTGAGCATGTTCCTCATCAAGTCTAGTTTGTCAATACCAAATTTAAGCTCAAAATTCGACCGGGAAGGCAGTCAAATAAATTCTTGAAGCTTATTGCACATTCTGCGCATATATAAAGTGTAGTAAGTTTCAAGAATTTATTTGACTGCCTTCGCGGTCGAATTTTGAGCTGAAATTTGGTATGTACAAACTAGACTTGATGAGGAACATGCTCAAAACATTTCATCGAAAAATTCCACCGGGAACCGCCCCAAACAGTGAAGTTCGGACGGCTGCTCCCGTCCCTCCGGCTGGACCTGAGCAGTCTTCTATAATTACATATACTACAAGAAAGTGCATTTTAATACCAAGAAACAAACAACACCTGACCTATGCTGATCAATCCTATCATCCTAACTTCTAAAAACTTTCCTAGTGACTTTCTATCCTTCTATGACTCATTTTTCATGTCATATAGGAACACCATTAAGTTGTCAATCCCAGCGGTCTGTCACATGATGAGAAGCTGATTCTTGTTTGATAAATTACCAAAAAACATTAAGGCCATACCAATGAGAAGTTGTCATTTCCAGCGGTCTGGTAAATGTCTGTCTTAAGTGTATTTTAAAACTATCTAAATCTGATTTAATGTAATCTATTTAAGGTCAGATTGATCTGATCTGAGATTGAAACTATTTCAATTCAAAACATTCTAAAAATACGAGTACAAATAATAATAATAAAAGTTGGAAACACGAGTAATAATAATAATAATAATAATAATAATAATAATAATAATACAAACAAATTGGAGAAAGGGTACACTGTCGATAATAATGGAGTAAATCAATATTTTCAATCGTGAATTTCAAATAAATATCGGTACTGAGCGTGGCGGCTCTGACGGATATCACTGGTAAAAGGTGGAGTAGGGATCGAATATCAGCAATTTTTAACGAAGAAAGGGAAACTGTCACTAATATCCCAATTAGCATGCAAGATAAGAAGGATGGTCATTGATGGAAAGGGGAAAATAATGGAAATTTTACCGTCAAAAGTTGCTATTGGACCTTAATGCAAGGGACAGTAACTAGCCGTTGGAGCGGCTGGAAAGATTTTTAGGATTTAAAAATTCCACCAAAGATTAAAAAATTTCTTTGGCAGGTCTTAGATGGTTCACTACCATCATTGGCGAATCTGGAGCGCAGGGGAGTGGCGGTGCATAACTTGTGCAAAGTGTGTGAGCAGGAGGTTGAGACCACAGAGCATGCGCTGAGGACCTGTTCGAGAGTTGCGGAGGTTTGGGCGAAGGCCAGCGTGGGGCTAGGCAGTTTGGAGGAGCCCCTGGTTGATTGGCTCCAAAAGCATCTTTTAGCACCCGATAAGGAGGCATGGTGCAGAGTGACGATGCTCGTGTGGGGACTTAATTTGGAAAAGGTGGGATTTTGTAATATGGGAAGGAGGTGCAACATGTTGCTGACTTGGAAGGAGGCGCAACTCACCAATTCGAAACCGAGAGGCTCAGGGAGGAATGGGATATGGGAATCCAAGGTGGCAACGTCCAAAAGCGGGAGGAATTAGAGCTTGGGGTTGGATTCCAAGAAATGAGCAAGGGGAGTTTATTAAATCTTATGGAGAATCATGTAAGGCGGAATGGTCTCCGGGCGAGGCAGAAGCGGTGGGCATCCGTGAGGCAGTTTTAGGGGCTATATATAAAGGAAGGATGGGAAAAGGTTGATATTGAGTCTGGTGCACAAGTAATTTTCAGAGGCATTCAGAAAGGGGAGGGCTAAGCGTATACGCATTTGGTTATTAATGATATATGTTTTTTGCTTCAAAGAAAGAGGAATTTTGGAATCTCTTTTTGTAAATGATTTGCGAATCGTGCGACTCACGCATTAGCTAGAGCTCACGTTGTAATCTCAGATCATAGTAGTTCTAATGGGATACCAGAGTGCCTAGTGGGAGGTCTCGAGTTCAAAACTCGTTAGACACATAAAGGTTCGAAACTCAATGGAGTGAGTTTCACTCCTGATTACTCCAGGCCCCAGCTTCCCTCCCCAACCCCCTAGAGAGTAAAAAAAAGGGATACCGGAGTGCATTGTAGGTCATGTAGCGAAAGACTCTTAAATTTAATGAAAGGCTTGTAATTCGGTTCATAAAAGTAAATATCCTATCGGTACTTAAATGTCAAGCCACCCTACAAATTCAAAATATAGACTAACAATATGTCTAAGTTAGACCAAATTTTCAATCTCGCCATGCTAACCACCAAAACTGAGGCGACTCCCTCCTAATCCACGCAAATGGTTCATAATTACTATGGCAAAACTACTTTGTTTTGGAAATTAGCCACACCCACCCACGACCAACCTCACCAGACATGTGCAATAAAATATTTATACGAATCCACCGACTTGTACCCACCCCCACCCTAAAAGGCAAGTTCTCCATAGTCCATATAAACAAATAAGGTAAATACACAACTGTTGCAACTAATTTAACGCAATTTATTATAAGAATGTATGCCATTTTCATTTTTAAAGTAGAATGTATGTCATCTAAAAGTCTAAAACAAGCATTTTTTGCGACTTTGCTTTGTTTTGGAGAAGTAAAGAAAGTACAATTTTTAATATGAGTTTCTAGGTAAGTAAAAAAACGAGTTTCTACTTGTACTTTAAAAGTTCAAATATGCATGTTTAAAGTTGGTGTAAACTTTTCTTTAATGTGATTTTTAGGACTCAAATTTCAACTTTGACTGTAATTATATGTAATTACATATTAGTACATAATAAAAATTATTAAAAATTAATATTTATGAATTTCACATTAAGAGAAATTTAATGATCTTCTATTCACATATGATCTATATATTAGTAGAAAATCGTGATCAAGATAAGGTGTGTGAATAGTGCAAAATTAAACTTATTGCAAGTTGCAACTATTAAACAACAAAGGAAATATAAAATATTAAAATAAAAAATAAATAGTTAAAAAATAAAATTCAAAATTAAAATGTAAAAAGTAAAAAAAAAATTGAAAACCAAGATATTGATTTTCGACACTTTTTACTTTTTACGGTTATTGTTCTATATATATTTCATGTCATCATTTTCTTAATAGAACAAGTCAAAAACTTGTAAATGTGAACAATTGATTTTTTAAAAGTGAGTATCTGCTTTTTTTATATGTATATGTACAGTAGGCTATTCAAAAACTATTTAAAAATGATGATTTTATGGTGAAAAAGGTCAACAAAAGGAGTGAGTGGATTTAAACAACTCGTGTCTTGTAAGAAAATGAGGAGTCATTAAAATCTCAGTAATACTTCTCCAAAAAAAGAAAATCTCAGTAATATTTGGTCAATTAATGGATAATTTAATGCTATTAATCAACAAGCTAAATTTGAAACGCATATCTTGCAAAAAAAGGAATCATAAATTGTTCACTTGGCCAACTGAACAATTTATTAGGCAGTGCAATGTGTTTTTTTGATTGAAAGTTGTTGGTCTGGTCTGATCTATTTAAATCTGATCTGGTCTGGTCTGAATTGGTCTGGTCTGATAAACATCTGGTCTCTGTACATTTTATAACTACGGAAGTCTGGTCTGGTCTAGTCTGTTTAAGTCTAGTCAGATCTGATCTGTTTAAGTCTGGTCTGGTCTGGGACGGAAAACAGTCCAAAGGAAAACATCCTTATTATAACTTTTTCTTTGGTTGTTGATCCGGAACAAAATGCTTGAGGTTAATTACTAAGGGGGTGTTTGGAACTGATTCTGCTTCTGCTTCTTTTTTAAAGCAGAAGCAGAAGCAGAATCAGAATCAGTTTTCAGAAGCTGGTCTCCCCCAGCTTCTAAAAAAACTGATTCTAGGAGTAAATTAGGGCACCAGAAGTACTTCTGCACTTCCACCCAAACACTCCAACTTCTGCTTCTGCTCCCTGAAAGAGCAGAAGCAGTTTTAACAATCAGATCCAAACACCCCTAAGTAATCACTTATGCGCAATATATTGCGCATGTGTATGCACATTGTGTTTGTTAAATCAAATAAAAAAGAGATAACTCCAAACGAGTAAAACGTGATAAAAAGGTAAAAATAGGAGTCATCGTTTAAGATTTCTATATTAAGTTTTTTTCTTGTGATTGAACAAAAATACCATGCGGACAGTGGCATATCCATTATGGGGCAATGGGGCATCTGTCCCCTCTCAAAAAAAAATACCATGCAGACACTGGCGTATCTACTATGGGGGCAGCTGCCCCTTCTCTAAAAAAATTTGAATTAGACATAGAAAAAATTTTAAAAATAGGATCAAAAGTGTTTTCTTCTAGAAAGATAGGATTTGTGTAATCCGGCCTATTAAAAAAATGAAAGGACAAACAATATACCTGTTATTGTACCGTAGTATTTAGGTAATTTTCTCAAATTTTATTGACAGTTTCATCTTTGCACACAAATAATTTAAAATGATCTTCTTTTTATGCATATTTGTACATTTATAACTTAAACTAAATCTAATTAAACAACATTAATAATTTGATTTGCTATTTATTAAGTATGTGATTAAGTTGTAATGCAAATTCGCCCAACTCAGAAGTATTTCTGGATACACCACTGCCTGCTTGTATAAGTCTATCCACTGCCGCATGTCGCTGCCGCTACCTCTACACCATTGAATTGCCTCCACCACCAACGGACTGACCCACCACCAACAAATTGACCCAAGAGAAAAAACAAAGCGATTCTATTTATAAATTGCGTCTATTTTCGTACCTATTTAAAGAATGTTGTGATCGTGAATGTTTAATAGATTTGTTACTCCTATTAATTTTTAATAAAATAATTACCTTATAAGCTCTTTCTGAAGAGCAGCGCCTTGCTTTGTCCGTCTATGCGACGTCGCACCGAACCCAGTCGTCACACCATAGCTATCAGTCCCCTTCTCCACTCCTTCCATCACCCAATCGCTGCTGGCCTTCACGCCCGCCCTCGCCGCTTCCGACAGCTCCACCTTCACCTCCGCCGCTCTCCTCCCCGCCACCGCCGCCACCTGCCCTATCGTCAGCGTCTCCCCGCCCAGACGAACCGTCGCCCTCCTGTAATCTTCCACCATTCTCTTCACCTCGTCCAGGTGGCTTCCCTTCAGCGCCTCCGCCGCCGCATTCCAGTTTAAGGGATCAGTTTCCGTCCGTTGGTGCTGCCGGACGAAAATGTCCTGCGAATGGCCGTTACCGATCCCGTTACCGTTTTCCATTCCGATGGATTCCGTTCGTCGGATTTGGCGAGATGTTGGAGGAAAATGGGGGTTTTGTTAGGAAATTTCTAAGCTAGCTAAATTTCCTGAACTTTGCAGTTTGGGAATTTGGCGTTTAAATAGATCAGAGGGCAATGTGGCAATGTGTTGGTTGAGATGACAGGATGGCCGTTGGATTTTGTATCGGCGTAGACGGCCGGTCAGTATGCATGGCAAACTGTGGCCAGAGACTCATGATAAAAACTCCCTCATATAAAAAATGCTTCATGTACCCACTCTTATACCCATCATGTTTGTGGAGGTTTTTTTTGTGTGTGAACCCGGTTCACAGGGAATATTTTGTTTGTGCAAAATATTGTCTGTGAGCCGGGGTTCACAGACAAAAAAACACTTCACAAACATAGGTGGGCACAAAAGTGGGTATAAGAGTGGGTAAAAAGATCAGTTTTGGTCCCGTATAGAAGTTGACGTTTGTTTTTGGCACAATATTTTAAGAGCTCAATTAATACTACCTCCGTCCCAAAAAGAGTTGCAAATTTGACTTTTCATAGTCAAGCAGTCTCGTTTTGTTCACTTAATTAGGATGTCAATTTTTAATTATATTATAATTTGGAGTTTACAACTTTGAAGAGATTTTAATGTAGTTTTTGAATATGTAAATTTTAATTATTAAAAATTGAATTAATTATCCATATGAAGGGTTGACTTTTATTATTAGTTAACCAAAAATTGTTGACTTTGCAAAACAAATGTGGACGGAGGGAGTAGAAAAACAATTATCTTCATGCCCCTTTGACTTTTGGGGAGAATTAATGTTATCCACCCATATGTTAAAAGTGGGTGGGTATTGAAGGGTAATTAAGACATTTAATGTAAAAGGAGTTGCCTAAAAAAGAAACATAAAAGAGTAAATGGACGTCTCAAAAAGGAAAATGTAAAGATTTAAACGAGACAAAGGGAGTATCATACTCCCATACCTTAAAACGGTATCATTTAAGCTTAAACATTAATTAAAAAAATGCGCGTGAATACAATCTGTGTATAGGTCTCAATTATTTGTGTAAATCATGTCTATTGAAATGTAACTCGCGTTGTTGTGAAACGTAATATCAATCAACGATAATTGTAACTCTCGCACTAGAATGCAACTTGATTTACTCCCTCCACTAGTCCAACAGTCATTCTATCACCTTTCATATATGGAATGTAAATCGCGCGTATGCAAAATAAAATTTCAAACCAATCAAAATGTAAATCACATGTATGGAAAATATAACTTGCATAATTGCTTAGACAAGGCAAATTGTAACTCGCGCCTATGAAGATGTAAATCACACACAAGAAAATGTAATTCGCCTCTAAGGAGATTAATGCAACTTCATGTGTTATTAAATAAGTATAACTGTACATATGAAAATACAATCTCATGTTTTATCAGATCTAAATCGAAATAAACAAACACAATGTCTTAAAACCCCTCTAAAAACATATAAAGGAGATAAAAATATACTACGTATTATTGAAAAATGTGTATGAATATGAAAAAATTTATTTCAAAAAATTGTATGAAAAAAAATAGTGAATGAATATGATATGCAGTATACTTATTTTTATTTCGATTAATAACTTTTTGGTTATAAATTCATAAAGAATAAAAATAAGAAGATTGAGTTGTAATTTAAGTTGGAGATATATAAATTAAAAGTAAAATTGCGAACAACTTTTTAGTATTTGATACTCCATACATCGTATTGACTATAGAGATCAGTACATCGTGCACACGATGTAACGATCCAACGGTATAATTTTTCATCTTTTTTACAACGATCCAACGGTATAATTTTTCACCTTTTTTTTACTTCTTCCTAACTTAAATTTCTCACCTACCTCTTTTGGACGTCACATCTAAACGTTCTCATTTCTATTTTAGAATAATAATTAGCACACTTAAGTCTTTTTTTTTTTATTATCAAAATGACTTTTCATTAATATAGAGCAAACATGCAAGACAAAATAATCCAGACAGCAATTACAGATCCGATCACAAGTCCTACGAATAGACTTAGATTCAGCCACCCATACAAAGCGATCTGACTCGCTAGACACAAAACGGGCAAGAAGAAGACTAAAACGACCGAAAATGAAGCATTGCCTATCAAAAGTTCTTCAAAAATCAAAATACTCCAACCATACCAACTCGAACTGAAATAAAAATAAGTACTACGAAAGAAAAAATAATACGAAAATAAAAACTTTTCCCAAATTGTTTCCTCGCACGCAGGTGGTTCCGGAGTAGGGCGAGCTGTTGTAGTACGGTAGAAGAGAATTTCAACCCCCGGGAAATTCGTTTGAAACATTATCCTTTTTGCGCTCGCCAACTACTTGCTCTTGCCAATTTGCTCCTTGAGATTTGCCATTGAATCCATGCCCAAGGTGTAGGAGAAAACTCTATCATGTTGTCTTGTGTTTCTTCGCCCACAAAAATCCTAGCTGCATCCCACCGCCCTTGCGTTCCACTCACGTTCTGAAATCCCCAAAAGGAAAACCGCACGAAGCTCTCGTTCCACGAGAATCCAAGCCGCATGAGCAAAGCTCGGCGGAACAAAAAACCCTAACTATGTAGGGAGATGGTCGCTCCTTGACAATATCGATAGCGGATCGGAGAGGAAACCCTAGCGGCGGCGAATTGAACCACCCTAGCACACTTAAGTCTTAACTAACAACTCAGAGCCCGTTTGGTAGACCCTATTTCCAGCTTATCCACCATATCGGCCAACTCATTTACTAAACATGTAATCTTTTACATCATGCGCTGAATTGTGAAACAAACAAAATAAGTAAGAATTAATAAAATACTCCATATAGAAGATAATTTTAGTTATTTTTTCATGTGATTGTTTCTAAATTTTATTAATAAAATATATTTTAAATATAATTTTTACATAATTAAGCAGATTCAATAAATTCGGCCATTTCAGCCAGAAATTTATAAATTTCAACAGATTCATTCAATTTGATTGTTACAAAACAGGCCCTTAATAATCAAATACTACCTCCGTTCTCTTTTAATTGCAACGTAGGACTTATTTCACTATTCACACATTCTAGATTGACTATATTTTATTTATTAATGTATTACGAATTAAATTTTAAAAAACTATTTTTAAATTCCTCTCATAATAAATTTTCAAAATCTGATTTTTTAATTTGTTTTTACTAATAAGGAATGAAAGATATTATCGGTCAAACTTGTGCGTTGGCAAACGTAAAAAGTGGACTGTTGCAATTAAAAAAAATGGAGGAATTATTAAATATAATACATGCCTATAACATCATATCATAGTTATCTCTAATGACCTCATTATTCTATACATTCATCAAAACTACTTCTTAAAGTGTACTCGATCAATTAATCTTATTTAATTATTGTCTAAATCAATAATGTGCCATTTTTAATGAGAATGTTATGCGGGAATGGAGGTATCTATATCTATAATAATAATATAAAGTAACAAGGTGTGACACTTTGCTTTTCCCTCCAATTAGATATTTAATGCTTCATACCCATTAAAAAATCTATATCTATAATAATATAAAATAACAAGGTGTGACACTTTGCTTTTAATTTCCCTCCAATTAGACATTTAATGCTTCATACCCATTAAAAAATCTATAATAATATAAAGTAACAAGGTGTGGCACCTTGCCTTTACCTCCAATTAGACATTTAATGTTTCATACCCATTAAAAAATAAGAGTTACATGAATATTAGAGCAATTGGAATATTTTCAATTCAAAATAATCTATAATGATGATGATCATAGATAATAATAATTATTTTTATTATAATAATATAATAATAGTGATATTTAATTGGCGGGACTTCACTTAACGCAAAGAAAAAATCAGAATGTTTACAATATTTTGATTGAAATGTTTTCGATTATAAGCTAGACCACACCAGATTAAAAGAAACTACACCAAATCAGATCAAATTTAAATACAATAGACTTGATCAGATCAGAATAAGTTAGTAAAATATATATACATCCGACACTTGCCAGACCAAATCAGTTTAGGCCATCAGACCAAACTTAAGCGGACCCGATCACAAAACTTTAGTCTAATTAAAAACATCATTGTTATTGTCTTGCAGTACAGTAATAGTTACTACCTCCGGTTTTTTTTAATCTTCACAGTTTGACTTCACACAAAATAAGGAAAGAAATTTGACTTTATTGTAGAGTGTACTGTTTGGCACTGTAGAGACACTATTTGGCACTGTAGAGACACTGTTTGGCACTGTTGAGACACCGTTTGGCACTGTTTGGCACTATTTTGATGTAGATTTCTTTGCCAAAAAAGGAAATAAGGAAGTGTGAAGTTTATTTTAGACCGTCCCAAAAAGGAAAATGTGAAGTTTATTAAAAACCGGAGGGAGTATATTATTAATAATAATAGTCTTCTATAATAATACTACCTCCGTCCCGTTGGAATGTTCCCACTTTCCTTTTTTGGATGTCCCAATGGAAAGTTCTCATTTCCCTAAATGGAAAGTTATCCCACATCAAAACAGTGTCAAACAGTGCAAAACAGTGTCAAACAGTGTCAAACAGTGTCCAAACAGTAAAATTTACCCCCTGGTAAGTTTATTTCCTTAATATGTGTGTAGGTCAAACCGGGAACATTCCAACGGGACGGAGGGAGTATAAAATAACAAGGTGTAGCTTGTGTTTCCATATTTAATGATTTCATACTCATTTTCTCTAAACAATAATGTGTAAATTAATAGTTAGCAATTAGTAATTATAATGTGAAAATTTTGATTTTTAAAGTTATACTATCAATTAATGTTTTTTGCTTATGGGATGTTTACAAAAGATTGATCAGTAACATTTTTAGCATCCTCAATTGCATGAATCCTTTGTAATTACTCTATCCGTCCCGCTAAGATTGTTCCGTTTTTCCTTTTCAGAGAGTCCCACTGAGATTGTCTCATGCCAAATTTGGTAAAGTTTGTGTGGCTATAAATCATTCTTACTTTATCAATTCAATATCAATCACATAAACTCACTTTTCTTAATAACCGTGTCACCTCCTCATGTCCCAATGTTAGTGGGACAGAGGTAGTATATTTTATAAACACAAATACGTAACAAAATATTTATATATCTAATGAAAAGTATTT